GAGAAGATTCTGTAACGTGGTTAAAGGTCTTCAGGCACCGGCAGTGATGTTGTCAGGGGACTGAGGGACTGCAGTGACCCCAGCCCAGCCACCTCTTGCTGGGAAGGCGGAGCCCCCGAGAGCCCCCACTCCAGCCTCACAGCTGGAGGTCAGAGCTTGTAGGCCCCGCTGGCTGCTCCTCTTCCTCGTTTTTCTCCCAAAGAGCTCTTTCACCTCTTGGGTGTGCAGGGCTTGACCCTAGCTGAGGGGTGGGAGCGGGGATGCGGTTCTTCCAAGGTTCCGGAACAGGTCATGATCCCTTAAGCGCTTGTTTAAAGCTTAGCTTCCTCCATGCTTTATAATTATTGATGAGTCCGCCTGCCCCACTAAACTGCGTTCCTCCAGGGCAGAGATGAACTCTTAACTCATCTTTGAGACCCCAATGCTAGCATAAATAAGTAGGCATTAGCGTCCATGTTGGGTGGATTGGCTGGACAGGGAGAGCAGATGGGATGGGTCGGGAACCGCTGCTGCAGCAGTCCCATTGAGGGCTTAAGGGGTCAGTAGATAATGTCTTCCCCTCCCAAGTTCAGCACAAAAGAAAAAATAAGAAGACGCTAATAGAAACAAAAACGTTGGCTTGTATTACTGATAAAGCTGAAGGACGTAGCTTCCACTGTCTGGACAAATGGACATATTGCCCCCCCGAGAGCGTAGACACCTCCCTCACAGGGGCAGGGCCTCCTCTGCAGACTTAACGTGTGAATAGAGAATGGAGCATGCGCTACCTTTTCCGACAGTGGGACCAAAAATCAGAGAAGTCTGGAGAGGCCTGAGCCCACCCCCTCCCCTAACCACCAATGAGACAAGCCATTCTTCCTGCCTTGGGAAGGAAGAAGCAAGTGGGGACAAACAGTGGAGTGGGAATTGCCTGTTAAGGAAAGGAGGGGTGGGACGGGCTCCCCCACCCCCACCCCAGCCCTGCACCAGGTGGGATGAGCAGAAGGGTCGAGGGAAGGGTGTGGGCGAAAGGGGGACCACATTCGTTCTGGGAGGCTGATGCTTTGGACCACTCTCCCCCTGGGGCCTGCTTCCGTATTCCCCCCCAGATGCCGCATTCCAACCTCCGTGCCCTCATCTTGTGCTGAGAGCCCAGCACCTTCGCAGGACCCCCAGGGCTCTGCACCGCATGGCTGCAGAAGGCGTCGTAGCCGCCACCTCCCGGGAGGACATCCTTGCTCGCCTCCTGGGGCCTGGAGCATTCTGCCTGCCCGCGCCGTCCGGTGCCTCCTGAACCCTTTCTCATCTTTTCAGCTCCAGCCGGCCTCTGGGGCTCCCCACTAATGTCCCCTGCTATCTCTGGCTCTTAGGTGGCTTTGCCTTGGTTCAAGGCATGTGGGCACACACTGGCTCCCCTGCAGGCCCTGGCTGCTCCTCTCCCGGGCGCCGTGGTGAAGGTGTGAGGTAGTGTCGGCATTGGAGCAGCTGCATCGGGAGGGCTGCTTCCCCCTCTCTGCTCTCACCACCCCCACACCACAGTCACCTACCCAGGCGCCACTCAACCCATAAGAGACAACTGACAAGATTAAATGGCCCCCAGGATGGCCACGCGATGCCAGGCAGGCGTCTGACACACCTCCTGGACAGGAAAATAGTTTCCTTCCTCTTAATAACAGTCATTAAGGGACCTGTGCCCAAACACTGCGGCCAGGGGCTGGGCTTGGGTCTGTCCGTGTGGCTCCCAGCAGCCTTGGGCCTGGCCCCAAGGTTACGCTCCACCTGTCTACCCTCCCCATGCCCTCCATTCGCTCAGCCCACAGGGACGCTTGGCCTATCTGCACCCTGTGAGACTGAGTTTGATTCACACAGTGTTATTAGGATGTCAGGGATTCACAGGGACCCTTTCTTCTTCAACGTAGTCTTCCCGCCCCACCCCTCTTTTTAAAAAACATATGTTGCACAATGCAACTGTTTTATTGATTTATATTATTATTTGAAAGGAAGTGTGATAGCTTCCATCCACTGGTTCACTCCCCAAATGCCTGCCACAGCTGGGACTGAGCCAGGCTGGAGCCATGAGCCAGGAACTCCATCCAGTTCTCCCACCTGAGTGGCAGGAACCCAAGTAGTTGGGCCACCATCCACTGCCTCCCGGGTGTCTTAGCAGGAAGCTGGACTGGAAACAGAGGTGGGACTTGATCCCAGGCATTTGGACATGGGAAGCAGGCATCCCAAGCATTAGCTTAACCCACCAACGCTGTGTGAGTCCATGAAAGCAGGGTACCTAGAGCAGTCACAGTCACAAAAACAGAACGTGGCTGCCGGGGGCTGGGGAGATGGGGCAATGGTTCTTAGTGTTAGTGGGCACAGAGTTTGAGCGTTGAAAGGTGAAGCGTTCTGGAGATGGTAGTGGTTAGGATGGCATAAGGTGAAGGGACTGAATGCCACCAAAGTGGTCAGGTTTTTGTTTGTTTAAGATTTATTTATTTTATTTGAAAGGCAGAGTTACAGAGAGGCAGAGAGCGAAAGAGATCTTCTGTCCTGGTTTACTTCCTAAATGGCCACAATGGCCAGAGCTGCACTGATCCAAAGCCAGGAGCCAGGAGCTTCTTCAAGGTCTCCCATGTGGGTGCAGAGGACCAAGGACTTGGGCCATCTTCTACTGCTTCCCCAGGCCACAGTGGAGTGCTGGATTGGAAGTGGAGCAGCCGGGACTCGAACCAATGCCCATATGGGATGCTGGCACTGCAGGAGGCGGCTTTACCTGCTATGCCACAGCGCTGGACTCACAAAGTGGTCAGTTTAATGTGCATTTTACCACAATGAAAAATAAACAAGATACAGATCCAAAACTCTACCATGAAACGGACGTCTCCACACTGAGGGATAAACACAATTAACTCAGCTCGGCACAGACAGGCCTGTCTGCCTCCCAGGAGCTTCTCCCCTCAAACAAATCTGGAGATAAGGCCCTAATGAGGGCTCTGCTACCTCAGCTGCCCCCACAGCTTATTACCCTCCCACAGCTGGCTTTGTTTACTCAGCCCCCGCCCCTCCCCTCCCGCAGGGAAGGGCCGCTGTGTCCCTGCACCCAGCACTTCAGCCCCTGGCCTCGGCCCTCTCCTCACTGACACGGCCCCAGCCCCACTCAGCCCTGGTGACAAGGCACAGCTTGATTCAGGGAGCTCCTAAGTCGCCCTGGGCATCCCCGCATGCATGTGCTGGGCCTGTACAAAGCCCTGTGGGCCAGAAGAGCCTGGGCTCTGGACAGGGTCTCAGAGCAGATGAACCAGAGCAATCAGGACTGCACAGGGTTGCGAGACGGGACTTCCATCCCCTGCTCTCCCCTCGTCCTCTTTTTTTTTTTTTTTTTTTTTTTTAATTTATTTATTTGAAAGTCAGAGTTACAAAGACAGGTAGAGACAGAGAGAGAGGTCTTCCATCTGCTGGTTCACTCCCCAGATGGCCGCAACAGCTGGAGTTGCGCCAATCCGAAGCCAGGAGCTTCTTCCAGGTCTCCCACATGGGTACAGGGCCCAAGCACTTGGGCCATCCTCCTCTGCTATCCCAGGCCACAGCAGAGAGCTGGATCAGAAGAGAAGCAGCCGGGACTTGAACCGGTGCCCATATGGGATGCTGGCGCTTCAGGCCAGGGCTTTAACCCGCTGTGCCACAGCGCCAGCCCCTCCCCTCGTCCTCTTCAGACCTCGTCCCTCCTGAGAGAGAGGCCACGGCCACTGTGCCCAGTCCGCTCCCTGCCCCCCATCCCCTGCACCTGCCATGGGCTGGCCCTGTCTCCAGAGCGAAGCTTCTCAACTGGCCTCCGCGGGGCAGACTGTACATGCTCTGGGGCTTTGGCCTTGTTGGGGCAGAGAGCAGACACCTGCCTCTTTGCCTCTTGACCCGCAGTGCGTCTGCCTGTCTTCCAGAACCACTTTTTGCACTGTAAGCATTTGCTACTCAGCCCTGGAGCATGGGAGGAAGGCTTGAGTCTGCGAGCATCCCTGGGGTTGAGGGTGCTGAAACACAGCCATCTGGAGCGGCGTGTCGTAGCAGCAGGGCTCAGAGCACACGTGAACCTCAGGATCTCATACCCCCTGGATCCGTATGGCAGGGTGGGTGGAGGCTGGGGGGGTATGGGAGAGCTGCGTTTTAACCTGTCCAGGTCATGCTCGGGGGCTAGGTGAGGGTCCCTGCCCTCGACTCCTGGAGGCTGGGCTCAGAGCCGGGGTCAAGGTGGGATGGGGGCAGTTATGATGACACCGCATGGCAGGGCAGCCATAGGTGCAGAGAGGCCTGGTAGCGGGGACCAGATGTTCTTGGTGATTCCATGGGATGCTGTTTGGCTCTCATGAAGGCCTGAGCACACGGGCTCCGAGGCATGCACTGTCTGTCATGGTGTTTGCGGCTCTGTGGTTGCTCTGTAAAGTAGTGTGTGCCACAGCCTGTGTGGGTGGGCTTCAGGGAGGTGTGTGGTCTGCGCCTGTCAGCCTGGAGTCCGTGTCTGCGTGCCCATCAGCTGCTACCAACCTGCTTATCTGGTGTCTTGAGTCACTTATGCACCCCAGGTGTGTGTACATGTGTGTGTGTGCATGTATGTGTACGTGTGTGCACGTCCCTGAGCAGGCCTGGGCCCCTCTTTTCTAAAATCCAAGCTCCCCGGGGCCCTGGAAGGTCAGGGTTTGGGGACTGCTAGGAGCCTGGTGGGGTGGGTCTGTGTCCTGAGGGTGCAGAGGGTAGGGAGGCAGAGCGTGTGCCAAGGGCTCTTCTGAGCAGGCGAGTCCCAACAGCAGGCAGACAGGTGGGGCTGACCTGACAGGTTCCAGAGGCCAGGGGCAATGGGGCGGAGCACAGTGCTGACTTAGGGTGGCAGCGGGGGGCCCCCGCCACACACGCAAGCAGAGGCGGTGCTGCTGGGCTCTCCTTCCTGCTCAGCCGACCTGGGGTACGGACCATGGAGCCTGCCGGTGGGTGAGGCAGCCAGGTGGGCAGGCATGTTGGGAGGCCTGGCAGCCCAAGGCATGGCGGGCCCCCTGCGGGGCCGTGTGGAGGAGCTGAAGCGGCCGTGGTGGCGGGAGAGCTCGCCCCTGGTGCTGCAGCACAGCGAGGCGGCCCGGCTGGCGGCCGATGCCCTCCTGGAGCGCGGCGAGGCGGCCTACCTGCGGGTCATCTCCGAGGAGCGGGAGCTGCCCTTCCTGAGCGCCCTGGACGTGGACTACATGACCAGCCATGTGCGCACAGGCCCTGAGCTCAGCGAGGCCCAGGGGCTGGAGGCCTCGGGGCCTGACCGTCTCAGCCTGCTCTCCGAGGCCACCTCGGGCACTTACTTCCCCATGGCCTCTGATGTGGACCCCCCGGACCTGGACTTGGGGTGGCCCGAGGTACCGCAAGCCACAGGTTTCAGCCCCACCCAAGCCGTGGTCCACTTCCAGAGGGACAAGGCCAAGAACATCAAGGACTTGCTGCGTTTCCTCTTCAGCCAGGCGCGCACGGTAAGTGCCTCATCTTCATTCCTGTCCCAGATGTGGAAACAGGGGCCCAGGGAGAGAGAGGGACGGGCCCAGGGCTACACAGTGATCCTGAGGCAGAATTGGGGCCAGGACGTCTGCCCGCTGTTGGCCTCCACATGCCCAGGGCACGGCCATGGGTTTTATTTCCCTTCTTAACTGCTTGGCCCTCGAGAGGGCACGGATGTGAACGGGGCATGGCTGCAGGCGCTCCACGCACGCCCGAGGACACAGCGGCAGTGCCTCCTGCACGACGGGCCCTGGTGCCTCTCTCGGCAGAGGATCTGCGATCAGAGTCCCACCTCGGAGGACATCTGAGCCACCCCGCTGACTTGCAGAGAAAGGCTGTCAGGACGCAGGGAGAGGGCAGGGGCTCCAACCGCTGGCCCAGTCCCGCTGGTTGGCCCATCTGCCTCTCCCCAGCTGGCCTGAAGCAGAGGTGGGGGTTCGGCTGCCCGGGCCTCTGTGTGACCTCCAGGGCTAGGCTGAGGAAGGGGAGCAGAAGTTACTGGGCTCAGGACAGAGATTCAGGGGAGCAGGCAGGGATGGTCATGCCGCCCTCTGGCCCGGGAGACAGAGGAATGGACACGATGACCCCTGGCAGGACTTGAGATAAAGTCAGGCTCCTGCTGCAGGAATCAGGAGCCAAGCTCCCAGCGGGACCTCCACAGCCTCTCTGGCAAGGCAGCCTGTGCCCCGGGCAGGGGAGCGCCAGGCCTGATTGGCATCGGGGATGGGGTTATTAGTGTGGCTGTTGCTGTTGTCATCACCCTGCCCCTTTGATCTTTCTGGCCCGTCCTTGTTCCCTCCACTCCTGGCCAGACCCCTGCTGTGGACTAGCGCATCCCCCAGCGCCTTGCCTCCCCGCCCTGCTCCCTTCCATCCCTGAGCCGGGAGTCGGGCTTCCGCTCCAGCCGGCGCTGACTCCGAATGACCTTCAGAAGGGCCTCCTCTCCCTGCAGTTCGTGTCCTCGTCTGAAGAAGGCAGCAGGAGAGGAACATTTATTGGGCTTCTGTTGTGTGTCAACTGTTTTCATATTTAATGCCCCAAGACTCTGGGATGTAGCTATCATTACCTCCATTTAACAGATGAGGAAGTTGAGGCTCCCGGAGGGGGAGTGACTTGCCCGAGGCCCCATCACTAGGAAGTGGCAGAGGCTGGGTTTGAACCCATTTTGTTTGGCTCCAGAGCCAGAGTCCCGCGCTCTGTACGGAGCTGCCCTTGGCCCTTCCGGGAGAGAAGAGTCCCCTAGCGGACACCTGCAAAGGGAAGGCGGGGCATGGAGGGGCATGGAGGTGCCTGGGGGCTGCCAGGGGCCTCTGAGGCAGCCATTTATAGCAGTGGTCACCAACCTCAGCTCTCGACGGCACAGAAAATTCGGATGCACGTGGGACACGTGGAAATCAGGGAGCCTGTATTAGGTGTCACAGCAGAACTCTGTCACTTCACAGGGAAACAAGGCAGGTGTGGCAAAGGGCCCTAAAGACCCCAGGACATGGCCTGCAGCTCTGGTCCTTGAGAGGAGAGCCTCAGACACACAGGCCCTGGGCTAGTGAGGGAGTGCGAGGGGCTAGCCTGGGAATCAGGGCTGGGTTCTGCCTCTGACCCCTCTGTGCTGCAATGCACAGTGGGGCTTTGGACTGGTGCAGTTGATACACAGACATCTATGACAATCCGATGACAAATACTCTGTCCACAGAAAAATGCACTCAAAAACTTTCAAACAACTAGAGAGTCAAGCCATTCAAATCTCCAGTGGCCAAGCTAAGAACCCCTGTGCCAGGCACTGGGAAAAGCCCTTCCAGATGTTCCCACAGGCTCTGGCCTCCAGCTCCAGGCTCTTCTCCAGGACTGGGCTGCATGTGGGCAGTACCCTGGGCAGGACTAAGCTTCGCCCTTCCTCCTCCAGGTGGTGGCCGTGGTGATGGATGTGTTCACTGACATGGAGCTTCTGTGTGACCTCATGGAGGCCTCGAGCCGGCGTGGCGTCCCTGTCTACCTGCTCCTGGCCCAGGAGCACCTGAAGCACTTCCTGGAGATGTGCTACAAGATGGAACTCAATGGGGGGCACCTGCCGGTCAGTGAGAACCAGGGGCAGTAACCAGGGGTGGAGGTGGGGAGCCAGGAGGGCAGAAGAGCCAGCCGGGCAGCCAGTGAGCACTGGGGCTCAATGGGAGTGGGTGACTGTTTGGGGCGTAAACACGGCTTGAGGTCCATTCTCAAGGTCACTTCTCAACCTCCCTCTCCCCTTGGCCTAGAACATGCGTGTGCGGAGCATGTGTGGGGACACGTACTGCAGCAAGGCAGGCCGTCGCTTCACGGGGCAGGCCCTGGAGAAGTTCATCATCGTTGACTGTGAGCAGGTGGTGGTGGGCAGCTACAGGTGAGCAGGTGGAGTGAAGCGGGGGGCTGGAAGGGCACCTTTGAACTTGCCTTCGTTCAGCCATCTGTCCCTTCATGTTCATGTCCCGGGCACCTAGTGTGTGCCAGGCATCACACAGAGCTCAGGACAGGGTGAGGAGCAAGCCAGCCCTGGAGGAGCTCACTCTAGTGGAAGGGTTCCTTTAATGCCCTTGGCATAGAAAATGGCTATGGCACATTAGAACTGGAGGGACCTCAGGGCTCCTCACCGTTTTTATAGATGGGGCAGTTGAGACCCTGGGATGGGCGGTCATGTGCCCAAATCCCATCAGCAGGGCTAGAATGAGCACAGACTCTGGAGCCGGAGCCCCGTGCCCCATTGTGAGCCCTCTTGGGGGTGGAACTTTGGTCCCATTTCCGGGTAAGTTCCCCTGGCTGTGACTCCTGCTGAGCCCCAGGGCCTAGCCCTTTGCCTCCTGACCGGACCCTCTCCCCCAGCTTCACCTGGCTCTGCAGCCAGGCCCACACCAGCATGGTGCTGCAGCTGAGGGGCCGCATCGTGGAGGACTTTGACCGGGAGTTCCGCTGTCTGTACGCCGAGTCACAGCCCGTGCAGGGCTTCTGCAGCAGTGAGGATCCGCTGTCGCCTCCGGCACTGCATCCCCCCGCCGTGGCCCTGGCCTTGAGGCCTGGCATCCCCAGCCCCACCTGCTCCTCACCCTCCAGCACCAGCCTCAGCAGCATCAAGCACTCACCTCTCATGGGCCGCACCTCCTACCTGGCTCTACCAGGAGTCCGTGGCTGCAGTGACAACGGTATGGGGTCTTTCTCGCCAGGCCCTGCCCGTCGTGAAGCCAGTGGCCAATCCGCCCTGCAGCGCCAGCTCTCAGACCCTAACCACGGCTCTTCTGCTGGGCCCTTCAGGCCCAACCTGGGCAAGATGGGGGCATCCCTGTGGTCCCAGTCCTCCCCCGCCCTCAACCACAGTAGTGCCAGCCCTTTGACCCTGGCAGTGGGGGCACCTCTGCTCCCTCGTCCACGCCCCCGCCCCCTCTTCCACTTTCCCAGGGGTGCCCCGGCTCTGTCTCGGCTCCCAGAGAATGGGATTCTGGGAAGCCAGGAGCCCAGCCCTCCGCGAGGTCAGCGGGGCCCTGGTGTGGGCCTGGAGACAGTGGAGGAGAGAAAGGTGTCTCTGAGCCAGAGCCACAGCCAGCTGGACCTACTTGTCCCCTTCCCTAGGGCCCGAGAGGCAGGAGGCCCTGACTCTGGAGTTACCCCTAACTCGGGCTCCTTGCAGCCTGCAGAGCACGCCCCAGAGGACAGGAAGTTGTCCTCAAGCCAGAGCTTCAGTCACCTGGATCTCCTGTCTCAGGCCCAGGGGGGTACCCTTGAGTCAGGTTCCCTTAGACTTGGTGATCAGGCTCCAGAGGACAGGAAGTCATCCCCAAATCAGAACCATGGCCACTTGGAGCTCCTGCTCCAGGACCCCAAGGCCCAGGACCCCCGAGTGCCCCCTGAAGCCAATTCCTCAGCCAGGCCTGGGAAACAGGGTCCAGATGAGCGATGGCAGACCCTGGGTCACAGCCAGCTGGACCTCATCACAAAGTTTGGTCCGTTCCGGAGCGAGGGACCCGGGCCCAATTGCCTTCCAGGACCCAGTCCTACAGGTACAGCTGGAGTGGGCCCTGGGGAGGAGAAGCGGCTGACTCTGGGCCATAGCAAACTGGACCTCATCACCAAGTATCATCAGTTCCAGGGTGCCATGCAGGGGCCTGAGCCTGGCCTCCCTGGGGGCCCTGCCAGAGGCCACTGCAACGGAAGTAGCAATGACCTGCTCAGTGATGAGAAACGAATGACTCTGGGCCACAGCAAACTGGACCTCATCACCAAGTACAACAAGTCCAAGTTCAAGCTGCTCCGAAGTCGCTTTGAATCCTAGGTTTACTTCCAGCTCCAACCACTGAGACTCTGGACTTGCCCAGGTCTGGGATTCAGGGTGGGGGCCTGAAGCAGGGGTTGCATGGAGCGGGGAGGCGTCTAGAAGTCCAGGTCAGGCACTCCCTGGGCTCAAGAGCCTTGCTCACTTACACACAGGGAAATGGAACTCAACAGTCCTTGAGTGCCTTCTGCATGCCGCTGTGCTGGGCCCTTCATACCTTTTACTTCTTCTCACCCTCCGTCCTCCCAGCATCCTATGAGGGAGCTCTTGTAGGTGTATAATTATGGGATAATAGTTCTCATTCTCCCTCTTTATAGATGTGGAAGCCGAGGCCAGGCAGTTTGGATGACTTACTTGCTGTCAGGTCCAAGGGGATAGGAGGGAAGGGACCTTGGCCAGACCTGTGTCTCTGCCTCTGAAGATTGCGTTTTTCACACAGACACAACATACGAGAGCCACAGTTCCCGTGTCTTCAAGCACTCAAAATAACATACACTACAGAGATGCTCCAGACACTACACAACATACCCAGCACACGGACAGGGTACACAGCCACAGAGGCACACAGTGAGTATGCACAGGTCCACGTGCTAAACCAAACACGCAGGTATTCCGTAAGGGTCATCTGGCTAAATGAAGGGCTACACAAAACATATGCATTGAGTACACACTATAAACCCCCTCGGGATCCACAAACCATAAATATGCAGATAATCCAACACACACACATTCACACAAACTAGTATTTTCTTCAACCTAAGCTGTATTCCCAGACCCATGTTGGGCATGCCATAGGTCTGACAAATAAATTGTCCTCAGACCCCAGGGAGTAGGGGTTAAATGCACAAACCACTGGAGAACAAGACAGAACTGAATGGAACAAAAGGCTAAGAAGTGACAGAGGGGCTGGAAAATAAAGGTGGGAGCGTTGTGGAGGAGGTGGAGTGGTCAGGAAGGTTCCTTGGAGGGGACTTTGAGCCAGGACTTAGGAGAGGGGAGGTTTTGGACAGATGGAGAAGTGAGAGGAATTCTTGGTAGAGGAAATCAAGCAAAGAGACACCCAAGAGAAAGTTGAGTGGGTCTGTGGTGAACTGGGGAGGACAAGAGAGCAGACATATTCACTTCACCTTCCTAAATGTCTTGGAGTGGGAGTGGGGCCGCGTTGTGGCGTAGCAGCATCCCGTAGGGGCAGCTTCACTTCCTGTCCAGCTCCCTACTATTGCAAATGAAAAAGCAGCAGGAAGATGGCCCTTTGAGTGCCAGTAGGCACCCAGTAGGAGACCCGGATGAAGCTCCTGGCTCCCGGATTCAGCCTGGCCCAGCCTGGGCCTTTGTGGCCATCTGGGGAGTTGAACCAATGGATGGAAGATCTCTTTGTCTCTGTCTCTCTCTGCCTCTCTATAACTCTTTCACATAACAATGAAACAAATCTTTTTAAAAAAAAAATAAACGTCTTGGAGCACAGGTTGTGATGAGTTGTGGATGCTTTTCCTGAGCTCAGCTCACCCCTGCCCGTGGGCCAGGATCCACCAATCAAAGCAACAAAGGCAGAGCCGGCTGTGACCCAGCAGCCTGGTGGATCCTGAGGAATGTGGAGTTATGGGATTGCACGCCGGGGGCAGAGGAAGGGCACCGCTCAGGCCAATTACAGAGGGTGCCCTGGCGGGGAGAGGACGGTGGCAAGGGGCTCCAACCCCCTCGGCTTCAGTGTGGCATTCCGGGAGACCCTGGGGCTTTCATGGATCCTACAAAATGTGGGCCAAGTACTGCAGTCCGGGAGAGTAGGGCCCTTGACCGACACCATTGAGCTGGGGACAAAAAGGGGCTGTGGAGTGAGTGCAGAGTCCACAGGAAGAGGGCACGGCCCCCACATCCTTGCCCACCCTGGATCCCTTTCCCCTCCAGCCTCCTGTCTAACCAAAGCCTTCCGCAGCCCGACTTCCCAACTCTCTGGCCTCTTCGTCCTAGTCTCTCTCTCCTCGCTACTGGACACCCATCCAGCCCAGACTTCAGCCCCAACTTTCATTCCTCAGCCCTTCACTGTCCCCTGGGTTCCAGATCAAGATTTCGGACCCCTTGGCCCAAACCTGCCCCTCCTCCTTCAGTAAATACCTCCATCGTCAATCCATCTTCTGGGAGACACCCCTGGCTCTTTCTCGCCCTCAACCTTCACTGAATGAAGGCAGAAACGAACGAACCAATGAGAGCACGCCAGGGGCGTGGCCAAGCTGGGCGAGGCCAGACCACTTGTTACCATAGAGGCCTCCTGGCGGTTGGAGCTAGAGTGGCCGCATGCGTGGCTGGGCACGCCGGATTCTCCCGGAAGTCTCCCTGGGCCGAGGCGGAAACGGAAGTTTACTTAGGCACGAGAAGGGGTGGTTCCGCGTGTGGAGACTGCAGTTAACTTGGTGAGCTGGCGTGACTAGGGGCTGGAAGGGTCTGTCAGCTCCGCTCCCCGCGGCGGGGTGGGGAGTGGGGGCGCCGGAGAGACTAGAGGGGTCCGGTGGGAGGGACTCGGGTCTGAGGGACCGAGCTGGGCTGGGTCCCGGCGCGGCCTGTGGGGCCGAGGAGGGGCGATCTGGGGCGGAAAAGAATCCGCCGGTCCTGAACTTTGCCCCACAGTCCCGCAGGCCTCATGGCGGTCCGGGCATCATTCGAGAACAACTGTGAAATCGGCTGTTTTGCCAAACTGACCAACACCTACTGCCTGGTGGCCATTGGAGGATCAGAGAACTTCTACAGGTGCGGTGGGAGCCCCAGGGCCCGCAGTGTCGGGGCGGGGAGCCGGGAGATCGCAGAGGGAGGGCACTGGCCCCTCTTACCCCTGACCACCGAGCCCGTGTCCCTACAGCGTGTTCGAGGGCGAGCTCTCTGATACCATCCCCGTGGTGCACGCGTCCATCGCCGGCTGTCGCATCATCGGGCGCATGTGTGTGGGTAAGGCAGGTGAAGGGTGCCGAGGGAGGCAGAGGGGTTTCCACGCACCGTCAGTCATTCCCCTGGAGGGGTCTCGGAGTGACCTCGGCATTTCCAGGCTTTTGTTCCTTGTCTCCGGGAGCTAGAGACGGCGCTGGGTGGGATCTTGTCTGAGTGACAGCAGATCAAGGACATCAGAGCCTTCGTGAGAGTACTAGCAAGTAGCACTAAGTGCTTTCACTCTTGTGAGGACATTGGGACGAGGAGTAGGAAGTACTGGGCGAACATGATTGACTCACCAAGTTCCACACCTAGGGTAGAACATTTGCATCTTGACCCTCCCCTGCCACCACCTCTGTCTCAGCATGCCTGCCTGTCTCTTTGAAATGACTTGAGATCCGGGCCATCCTGTTTGCTACCTGTAACTCTTAAGTTCCCTTTACCAAGTCACTGAGTGGCGTCCCGACCCCCAGCCCTCTTGGCTCCGGCCATTGGTCCTTTCTTCAAGCGGACCTGTGTTCCTTACTGCCACCCTTTCTTTCTTACTTCTGCAGGGTGCAGTCCTCTAGAAGTCTGTTCCTGTTCTAAATATTTTCTGATTCAGTTAAAACACCCTTAGGGCTTGAGAAGCAAGTTTGGACAGGATTCAATTTCAATCTGGCCCTTAATGTGTGTGTGTGTGTGTGTGTGTGTGTGTTTTTTTACAGGCAGAGTTAGACAGTAAGAGAGAGAGAGAGACAGAGAGAAAGGTCTTCTGTCCATTGGTTTACCCCCTAAATGGCCACCACGGCCGGCGCGCTGTGCCGTTCCAAAGCCAGGAGACAGGTGCTTCTCCTGGTCTCCCATGGGGTGCAGGGCTCAAGCACTTGGGCCATCCTCCACTGCCCTCCAGGGCCACAGCAGAGAGCTGGACTGGAAGACGGGCAACCGGGACAGAATCTGGCGCCCCGACCGGGACTGGAACCCAGGGTGCCAGCGCTGCAGGCAGAGGATTAGCCTAGTGAGCCATGGTGCCAGCCCTTTATGATGGGTGTAACTCGGAGTTCAGAAGATCAGAGGTGTGGTCTTGCATGATAGAGGGAGGTTTGGCCATGGTTACCACAGTGTATTTGTAGTTTCTTCATTCTTGTGTGATACGTTTTGTGTAAGTATATCACAATGCGCTCATCTGTTCTATTCTATTGGTAGCTTTCAGTTTGGTCTGTCGGGAATAGTGCTGCTATGTTTTTTAGTGAAAGTATTGCTGGATGTGTAATGCCTAGCAGTGGAACCGGCATAGGCCCTGGTTCTATGCTAGTGGTGCAGTAGATGATGTCATGATGATCTGACGTGGCTAACCAGTTCATGTTCCTATCAGAGGAAAAGAAAGTTTCAGTGGCCCCACTTTGTATTGATAGTGTTTTTAAGATTTCAGTCATTTGATAGGTATGTAGTGTTAGCTGAATTTTTAAGTAGCAGAATATGTAACTAGTGCTGAGAGCCCTTCCTTCTGCTAGTCTTGTTCCCTGCTGGTTGATGATGGTGAAGTGGGTCTGAAACTGTCTTGGGATAGCTGATTGGGCTGGGCTAGGTTGTATCCTCTAGTACTAGGAGCCATTTTGTGTGTTCATATTCATTTTTGCCCCAGTGTTCAATTTGGGTCTCTCCAGGGAACAGGCATGGCCTCCTGGTGCCCAACAACACCACTGACCAGGAGCTGCAACACATTCGCAACTGCCTCCCAGATTCTGTGCAGATTCGGCGGGTGGAGGAGCGACTCTCGGCTCTGGGCAATGTTACCACCTGCAATGACTACGTGGCCTTGGTCCACCCAGACCTGGACAGGGTGAGGCATCCCAGTTTGGGCCTGAGAGTCACAGGACTATCCTAGTCAGTGGTTACTCATTATACTTGGCCGACAGGCAGGATTTAAGGGTATCACTATGGTTTCTCTACATGAGCTGTTATATTTTAGGCACTCGTTGGAATAGTGATAATAGAGGCTTTCCACGGTGTGGTTGATGCCAGAAAGAGAGTGAGGAGGGTATTAATCTCTCAGGACTGGGGAGATTGACCATCCAGTCCTGCAGCCTGGGCCAGGACAGCTGTTTGACAATTGAACTCTTAAGTGTGGGTTTGAGGGAAAAGGATGTCATACAGACCAGCCCCTGGCTGTTGGAGGCAAGCATGGGTAGTAGGCGCTCCAGAGCTGAGCTGGACTGCTCTAAGCTGTGTCCCCTCCTTTCTTATAGTGAGGTTTCCATATACAGTTACATAGCAGTAAGTGAGGGTCTGGGGAAGGCAGTCCCTGGGTAGTTCTGTCATCAAGAGTCTCTGATTCTGTGGCCTGCAAGTTCTGGACCCTTTGCATAGTACCTTTGATTGATAGGAGACAGAAGAAATCCTGGCTGATGTGCTCAAGGTGGAAGTCTTCAGACAGACAGTGGCTGACCAGGTGCTAGTAGGAAGCTACTGTATCTTCAGCAATCAGGGAGGGCTGGTGCATCCCAAGACTTCAATTGAAGACCAGGATGAGCTGTCCTCTCTTCTTCAGGTCCCGCTTGTGGTAAGCATTCCTGTCCTCTGGGCCTCGTCTGCTGTTGAGCAGATCCCTTTGTCCGGTGTCCGGGAATCTGGGTCATTACCTTCAGCGGTTTGGGATCATGGCTGCATGTAAGAAGCCAGGTTTGGGAGAGACTTTGGCTTTTCGTGCCATAACCCATGCTGCGTCCCTCCCTTGGCAGGCGGGTACCGTGAACCGAGGCAGTGAGGTGATTGCTGCCGGCATGGTGGTGAACGACTGGTGTGCCTTCTGTGGCCTGGACACAACCAGCACAGAGCTGTCAGTGGTGGAGAGCGTCTTCAAGCTGAACGAAGGCCAGCCCAGCACCCTCGCCACCAGCATGCGGGATTCCCTCATTGACAGGTGTCTGAAGCTTCTCCTTTTGCCCAGGGCAAGAAACTCAAAATGGGTTTTGGGTGTAGGGAACGAAGATGCCACCTAGAGGGAGAACCACACTGCGCTGGTCCTGGTCAGTTCTCAAGTGTGAGGGCGTGTCTGCACACTGCTGAGCAGCCCCAGGGTGCAGCTGTTGGGCATTTCCTGAGCGTCTCTGGTTCTCATCTTTGAAGACTCAGTGTGGTCTCCCTGTGTAGGCAGACCTTTCCTGTGGTCCAGCTTATTTGATCACTGACCACACTTTGCGGTTTCTATTTGCCTGTGTGTTGGTATCTCCAGCTAATAGGCCAGAGACAGAAAAGAGCTGTTGGCTAAGGAAGCCGGGAAGGCCACTGTCAAACCTGGAGACTCTAGATGCCTAAGGGAGCTTAGACTGATTGGGGGTGGGTATTGGTGGGTATTGCATTAAACTCACAATCTGGATTTTTGTGACTCAAAAACAAAAACCCCAAAGGGCTGTCACCCTGACGATTCCAAGGTGGGAGGTTTAGAATCTCCTCTCTGGAAGACCAGCAGTTACTAGGTAGTTCAGCCTCCTTTCCCATCCTCTGCGGAGGATTCTCCTCAGGGCATGTCACACCCAGGCAGCACAGGAGCCTTTGTTAGGCTAGAAATTCCAAAGTAGAACAAGTGCCAGGTAGCAGACTCCATACTTACCATGGATAAACATTCCCTTCGTTCTCCCTCCTTCATCCATTGATTTGCTTGATATTCCTTGAACCCTGTGAACAAGGCTCCCTGAGGATGGAGCATAGTGTAGCAATTTAGTCTTATGTCCTGCCTCTGAGGGCCAGAGTTAGAGGGAGAGACAGAGAAAGAGATCTTCCATCTATTGGCTCACTCCTCAAATGACCACAGTGGCTGGAGCTGGGCCAGGCCAAAGCCGGGAGCCAGGAACTTCCTACAAGTCTCCCATGTAGCTGGTAGGGGCCCAAGCACTTGGACCATCTTCTCCTGATTTCCCAGGCCATAGCAGAGAGCTGGATCAGAAGGGGAGCAGCTGGGACTAGAACTTGTGCCTCCATGGGATACTGGTGCCCCAGGTGGAGGATTAACCTACTGCGCCACAGTACCAGCCCCAGAATATAAAATCTTGTAAGGGAAATAGTATTTACAAAGTCATGTAGCTAAAAAACAAAACAAAAAAATCTCTCAGCAACCTAAGAACCAAAAGGAAATTTCTATAACTTGATCATTGGTACCTACTTAAAAACTATAGCAAATGTTGCATTTGATGATCAAATTTTAGAAACTGTCATTAAACTCAGGCAAAACTGCCAATAGGCACAAGCACAGGTCATCATTTTTCTGGTGGTCCTAGCCTGTGCAGTTAGATAATTGAAAGAAATGGTATTGGAAAGCAAGAGACGAAACTCACTAGGCACCCTGGTGTTTGGGCCCATGAAGCCTCAAAGTGAAGATGACAGGCAATTAGAATACAGCGTACTTCCGTTTTGTAATCACTCACATAATTATTTCCAGGAACAATGCGTTTATTCAATCCGTACTGAGTAGCTCTTTTTCTCCCTTGTATTCATGGCCTTTTTTGTTGTTAGCGCTAATGAGGGAGCACCCTGGAGAAGGAGGCCATAGTTCTGGCCTCAGTCCCGCCGCTCCCTCGTGGCCCAGGCATGTCTTGCCCTCACTGAGCGCCCTGTTGCTTACTCTGATGTTTGATGGGCTTGCCCTGAGGCTCTGCTTTGTGATTGGTAAGTTTGAATAGCTGGGCAAGTTGGCCCACTTGAGTGGAGAAAGTTACTTCTGGTCTTTTTTTTAAGTATTCACTTGTAAGCTGAACTCAAGTCATGGGGTGCGGTCAGACCTGGATCCTGGGTGAGCCCAAGTAGGGCTGTGAATGTGGCTTTTAAGGGCTAAGCTAGAACAAAAGATCTGTGGGTGAGGGTGAGGTGTGCCCTGTGAAACGGCTCCTAATGGTGCTGCTTCCTCTCTTTTCAGCCTTACCTGAGTCATCTTCCATGCTGTTCCGTGGGCTCCTGGCTCTGGACTTGGCTCTCTCTCCATACCACACCCAGTTTGCACCGGATGATGGCAGGGAGGTGGCAGAGAGCTCCCTGGGACCGAGTGGCTGGGCGCCCAGCCCTCCTTCACTTGTGCTGTCTCCCAGATCTATTGTTCCTGCAAAAACCTGCTGTGTCACGCTGGCCTGCAGGCCCTGGGTTCCGGGATGAGAGTTCTGCTGTCCTGTGCCTCCCATTAAAGGGCAGTCGCTTCTAGCTGTTCTGAACGTGATGTGTGACTTAGGCCTGTGCAGCCCTCCCCACTGTTCCAGGGACCTGGGCATATTGGGCGGGAAGGACACTGTAAGGCCGCCACCAAACACCAAACACCGGAGTTAGAGAACAGGTTTATTGTTGGGTTGGGGAAGCCTGGGAGAGGGCGAGACAGTGTGTGTGGGGGGGTGTGGGGGAGGGAAATAGGAGTAGAGAATCCCACTAGGGTGGGGGTGGAGCTGACACTGGTGTTTGGACCATGGAGCTTCGGACCAAAGCCTACTGTGCAATGTGGCGAGGGGGCCAGGGCCTAAGATGGCCTCAGAGCCACAGAGCGCCACAGATAACACTATGCCAGTTTACTAACAAACACACAACGCACCCATCATCCTTGGGATGGGAGGCCTCACTTCCAAGACCGGAAGTACTCCATTTTCCACACTTTGCCCGAGGATGGGTTCTGTGCTAACTCTCGGGGCACTCGGCCTCACAGCATTCATGACTTCGGACCTGAGATGGGTGGAGGCTGCTGGCCCTTTGCCTTCGGAGGTTGGGTGGGTTTGGAGCACGTTGGACACCGGGGGAGGCTTCGGCGCTGCCAGCACGTCCTGTGTGGGGTGGGGCCTCGCGTCACTGGGGTGGGACGCTCTGGGCGTATTCATTGGGCCCCGCCCCTGGAATCCTAGCGGCTGGGGGGCGGGTTCAGTGCGGGGTGACGTCAGGACGCCAGCTCCTCCCTACGCCGGGGGTGGGATCTGAAGACCGCTGCCGTTAAGGTGAGGCCTAGGCGGGGCCGGGTGGGATCCGGCCGGGCTTGGGGTGCGGTGGTGGTGGTGGGGAGTTGCCTCCCACTCCAATCCTGAAATGCTTCGGTTCCTGCAGGGCATGGGGGCTCAGCCGAGCAGTGGCCAAGGCGCCCCGGAGCCGGCGCAGCCCCAACCCGCAGCGCTGGAGGGCCCGGAGCAACCACGGCCCCCGCCGCAGCCACAGCCGCAGCCCGAGCCCGGCGCATGGGGGCCGCTGGATGACGTGCGTTTTCTCATCGCCTGCACCTCCTGGTACTGACTGGGCCGCTGGAAGATGAAGCCGCCCCCCTCATCCCCTGCCAGCAGCTGTCCCTGCACTTGGACTCCCTGGCATGGTCTGGTCTCCTGTCCCCACGACCCCCTGTCTTCCTCACTCCTCTCCCAGTGTCGGGCAGAAAATTGCAAGAGGTCGTAGGGGATTGGAAGCAGGGCCGCCACCTCCGGGCTGCGAACTGCCTCAGACCCTGAGTTTGTTTGCCTTCCAGCTCGTACCCAATCCCAGCTCGTACCCAATCCCAGCTCACTTTTTTGCTCAGCCCTGACCCAGTTTGGGGCCTGGGGCAGCAACCTCCCCAGCCTGAACCAGAACCAGGTCAGGCCTCCTGGCAGTCCCAGCACGGCCCCACGTACCACAGTGCCCCTAAAGGGAGGTTGCGCCCTCCGCTGGTCTGGCAGGTGCGATGTGGGGAGCACCACCCTGTTCCCCCAGAACCGCATCTTTGTTCCCACATCCCAGGGAAATGACACAACTCTGTATTTCTGTTTTATTTAGAAATGATTTAAAAAACATTATACAAAGGCTGATCAGTTTAAAATGTGACCGACACTGGAATGCTGTGATGTTCCCCAGGCTGAGGGGAAGCTGGGCTCTGGGCCCTTCGTGCTTTACCCCTCTGTCTGACTGCCCTGTCCTGGGGTGATGGACACACAGATGACCACAGGCAGGAGAATCCGAGATGGGAAGCCTCTAGGCTGAGCCCTCTCCGGGCCTGGCCCTGTGTCCCTCAGACATCTGCAGCCTGGGCTGCCGCCCTCCATCTGCTCTTTCTCAGCTGGCCTAGGTGGTGCCAGGAGCCAGCGGGGAGCCTGGGGGCACCTAGAGCTTTCCAGAAGTGAGAGCACCAACCTGAGGAGTGGAGAGGGCCAGAGAGGGAGCAAGGAGGCCAGGAGAGATGGACGGAGGAGATAAACTTCTCAGCGCATCTCAGACCCTAGAAGGTCCACGGAGGGGGACAGAGACCCAGCCGGCCTACTGGGTGGCCTGGGCGAGGGACAGAGTCTCTCTGTGCTTCATCTGAGGGCACGGTGAGAGTTACCCTTGGCCTCCCAGGGCCTGCATGAGTTTATGTGAGTGGACAGGTGTGAGCTAATAAAGTGCTTCGCAAAGTATAAAACACTATACAAACCTATGGGTCACTAATATCTCCGCAGTTGTTCCCCGCCTGCCCCAGGGAGCCTGCCCTTGGCCAAAATGAGAAAGAACAGGATGACAATGACGGGGCACAGTGGACCCACACAGGTGCCTCTGAGACAAGAGATTTTTCTCGAGACAGCTCCCAGGGCAGCAGGAGTCCCTGTCTATGCTACAGGGTAAGCCACCCCAAAGCCCAGAGGCCACAGGGTGGGGGTCAGGTCCGTGCAGGCTCAGAGGGCGAGGGTGGCATCTGAGACCCTGTCGGCACCCTGAAGGCTGCTTGACACCTCTTTTTTGGCTTTGGCAGAGAGCCAGCGGGCACCACTAAGCCCACTGGTCTTGCTTGGGGCTCCTTAGTGGCAGCTCCTTAGTGCTGGCCTCTGCTGGACTGGAGTAGGGCAAGCTGAGCTCTAGGACTCCTGCTGGAAGTGAAGCGCGGGCCTCAGAAGGTCAAACGAGAAGGCCCCTGGGCCTGGGGTGCCCTTTTCCTAAGAGCAGTGTGGGAAGACGGGCCCAGTGAGCTGGGTTGCAAGGGCCAAGCTCAGGGTGTGAACACTGCTTCTGGGCTGAGTGAGTGGCCTCCAGGTAGCTAGGAGTCTGGGCGCTGAGCATTTCAGAAGGCTGCCCTGGGTCCCTTACTGCAGCTTGTTGGCTGGGTCCCAACAGCGTTGGCCCTGGGGCCGTTTCTGCTCCGCCTAACTACTCAGGCTAGGCCCTGAGGCCCCAAGTGATAGGCTGGAGCAGGGCTGGGGGTGGAAGAGGGACAGGGATAATGAAAAGAGGGCAGCCGCAAACTTGGACCGGTGTGTAGAAATAGGGTCGGCGCCTGTCCCAGCTCTTTAGCCCCATGCATGGGGCCCCAGCTACTGGGTGTCTGGGTGCTAGAATGGCCTTAGCAGCACCTTGTTCCTGATGGCCTGGGGGAGGGCCGCCATGCCGGCCTCATCACCAAGACAGTCCTCTCTTAACTCACCTAAAGCCTCAAGCAACCTTTGCAAAATGGGACTTTAAATAGTAGTGACAGGACATTTAAATATTCACGACATGACAGCTGGGTCCCTGTGAGATCCAGCTGGGCCACAGCTCTGCCTGCAGCACGTGACCCTCAATCCTGGGTCTCGGAGGAGACCCTGGCAAGTGGAGCAGGTTTCCTGAGGGATCTGCTGTTTGCCAGCAAGGGAAACCCAGGTTCGGTGCCCACTGTATCGGCAGCAGGGGTCTTGTAGCCTTGGAGGACAGTAGGGTGGGTGTGGGGGACATCTGACCAGCAGGTGTTGGCAAAAGGGGACCGGGACAGGTGGCATCTCCCAGTTGGGGGATGAGAGCTAGTGCTGGCTTCCCACAGAGGGTGCTGGGTCCCAGTCAGGAAGGGAGCTGTGGTGCCTCCTGGACACCACAGGATGCAGTGACCACAGAGCTCCTCCTGGCATGGTCCCTGCTTCCTGAGGGGACCTGGCCTGTTCCCTCGAGTAGAGGGTTGTCTACCCAGGACAGAAAGCCTGCCCTGGGGCACAGCCCCCATCACTCCCAGCCCCACACTCAGCCTAGGCCAGCACACCCACTGCTTCAGCTGTATGACCCGGGCCCTGCAGGCCCCAGTGGGCAGCAGCCAGAGCTGCCCCTCAGACCCTGGTGAGGAGGGGCCTGGATGGCCAGACCCAGTGGACAGTGAGGGCTCTGGGCTGCTCATACCCACTCCTGAACTGGCCGCTTATAGTAGGTGACAGGCTGAGGGCCTGCCTTGTTCTTGAACTGGAAGATGGTATAGACCAGCACCAGGATGCAGAGGGACAGGATGCAAGGGATGACCACTGCCACCGCGTTCACGGAGCCCGGCATGTCGTTGATGGTCACCATGATGTCCACGTCATCCTGGGGCAGCCGCCGCTCCTTTCGCCGCTCCACCTCCTTCTGGTTGCAGCCCATCCAGTCACGCAGGATGTTGCGTGGGTAGCCTGGTTCCACGCTTAGTTTCTGGTTGTCAAACTTCCAGTAGTCCCGGCCCTTGTAGAAGTAGGTGTAATCTGCAAAAATATGGCCCAACATCACCACTCCCAGGCACTTCCCAACATTTGCTCTGGGCTGGTGAGCAGGCGTAGGGTGCTGTGTCAGCGTGGGGGAGAGGTACTGGTGTGTGTGTGTGGGGGGGTACAGGGCATGGCTGCATCATGGACACAACTGCAGGGTGGCCTGCCCATCATCTCAAAGGTACTGGGAAACCACTGGGGTGCTTTAGGTAGGATTGGGAGGCCAGCGCTGTGGTTTAGGAGGTTAATCCTCTGCCTGCGGTGCCAGCAACCCCTGTGGGCACCGGTTCGAGACCCGGCTGCTCTTCTTCCAATCCAGCTCTGCTATGGCCTGGGAAAACAGTAGAAGATGGTCCAGATCCTTGGGCCCCTGCACCCATGGGGGAGACCCGGAAGAAGCTCCTGGCTTCGGATTGGCTCAGCTCCGTCTGTTGTGACTATTGGGGGAGTGAACTTGTGGATGAAAGACCTCTCTTTGTCTCTCCCTCTCACTGTCTGTAACTCTACCTCTCAAATAAAATCTTTAAGTAGAATTGGGACATAGTTCAATTTGTGTCACCTAGACACAAATTGTGACACCTAGACAGGGCCCTTAGCCTGGGGACACAGCTCTGTCATATTGTGCCCATGGCCTCCATGCCTTATGGGTCAGATCAAGCCCCCATTTTAAATGTTGATTGCTCAAACACCATCTTTCTTCAATTATCATAGTGTTTTTTTTGTTTGTCCTGCTTGTTTGGCACACGTTTTGCAATACAAATACAGGGTCTTTGGTAGCCCTCTGGGGGAGGGGCTGGGAAGAAAGGTGGGCAGGCTGGGCAGTGCTGCCAGTCACTCCCTGGGCAGCTACTGTAAGGGTCCCAGCAACAGCCTCAAGGGCACTGAAGGCAACTGTGAGACTCTCTCACTGGCCAGTTTTCTGCCCTGACTGGGACTTCCATTGGTCAAAGTCCTTGCTGTCACTTATCTCTAAGGCTCCCCCCAAAGGGTGTGGTGTTGGGTACACAGACAGCCGACAAAGAGCAGCCCTGCCCCTGTGGCTTTCTTAGCGGAGACGCCACCTCAGGGAGCCTTTCTCCAAGCCAGTCCTCTCTGCCTCATGGCTTTCTTGCACTGATTTCCCTATAGCACTTGTTAGCACCTTACGACTGGGACTATGCAAGACGCTTCCACGTCCCCAGCTCCTCTTGTATAAGCTGGCTCTTTGTAATGACTGTGGAATGAATGCGTGAATCCTGCGGGTCCGCATAAATTGAAACACACCAACAAGATGATGTTGATGACGACTAAACCTTACAATGCGTAAACTGTGCCAGGTGTTATTCTGAGCTCTGCATAATCTGATCCTCATAAAGTTCTGTCATCATAAGTTGTCTCCATGTGATACAGATGAAGGCCCTGAGAAAACTTACTAGTGATTTATCCGAACTCATAGTTGGTGTACATGGTGTGCAAGCCAGCGTGGGTCCAGAGTCTGTGCTTGGGCCAGATCAGCAGGGAAGTGTGCGACGCTCACAGATGCACACTTGCACTCAGCAAGACCCAGCCTCTCCTCTAGAGAAGCTTCTGGTCTGCGGAGGGGACAGGCTGTGAGCCCCTGTGGCCTCCAGGAGATGCCTGGAAAAGGCCTTGTAAGTAAAGCTCCTCTCCTCAGAGTTTCGCCCTCAAACCCTGTGAAACTTCCTGTATACACCATTGCATTTCAGATGGGATACGTTGAGGAATCCCTGAATGCCGCTGTTTTTGAAATGCTGTGTAAAGGAATGACGTCAGTCGGAAAATTCAAGTGTGAATCATCCCTGCAGATGGAAGATTGGGCCTTGGTAGCTGGTAAGCAAATTACTTTGTGGTGTGAATACAGGTAGGCAGGAGGCAGTTGTGTGAATACAGGTAGACAGGAGGCAGTTGTGTGTGAATACAGGTAGACAGGAGGCAGTCGTGTGTGAATACAGGTAGACAGGAGGCAGTCGTGTGTGAATACAGGTAGACAGGAGGCAGTCGTGTGTGAATACAGGTAGAAAGGAGGCAGTCGTGTGCGAATACAGGTAGACAGGAGATGGTTGTGTGTGAATACAGAATACAGGTAGACAGGAGGTGGTTGTGTGTGAATACAGGTAGACAGGAGGCAGTCGTGTGTGAATACAGGTAGACAGGAGGCAGTCGTGTATGAATACAGGTAGACAGGAGACGGTTGTGTGTGAATACAGGTAGACAGGAGGTGGTTGTGTGTGAATACAGGTAGACAGGAGGCAGTCGTTTGTAAATACAGGTAGACAGGAGGCAGTCGTGTGTGAATACAGGTAGAAAGGAGGCGGTTGTTTCCTCCACATGGTTCTCGAGCCTGGGTACCCTGAATGTATGCCATGGGCCCTGGGAGAAAGAACCACTTAAGATCAGCCCCGCCCCCGCCCTGCCTCAGCCCAGCCCAGCCCAGCCCAGCCCAGCTCTTACGTACATCCTTCTTTGCTGATGAAGGCCCCTTGGGGAGCCTGTGGGATGCCCTTCCACACAGTGATAGGCTTCGGGTAGCCAGGGTCTGTGGCCCGCCGCTCCTCGCTGTAGCGCCAGTACCGCTCGCCTTTGAAAAAGTAGGTCTTGCCCACGGGTTCCCAGCGCAGAGCTGTGTCAATGCCTTCACGGGGCAGGCAGCTGCCCAGTTCCCCCAGGCTGTGTGGGTACCCGGGCTCCACTGTCACCTCCTTAAACACCCAGTACTTGTCACCTGTGGTCAGGAAGAGCCCAGGTTCAGTGTTCTCTGTGGCCGGTGTCAGAGAGCACAGAGGCTGACCCCTCGGCCCAGGGCCCAGGCAGAGCTTGGAGGCAAACAGCCAGGAGCTGGTGCCCGGGCTCTGCTCCTCCCTGCCTGTGATCTCAGCCACTCCAGTGACTGCACACACAAGATTACTCTCCACCTGGCCCCATGACACCCAGCTCTGAGGCTACAGCGCACAGCCCTCTCCTGCTGGACCCGAGCACCTGCCCACTGACCCTGAGCTCCCGCAGCCCCCAGGCAGCTCCAAGTCGGCTTCCCAGAGTTCTCCACTGTACCACAGAGGAACCCCTCCTCTTCCTTTCTGCCCGCTGGGTCTCCAACAGGAAACCCTGGCATCATCTCTGGCCCTCTCACTCCTTCCCCTCTTGGTGCCCGGCCACTCAGGAGCATGTCTGAGTCTCTCTCAGCTGTCCCTGCCCTCCAGCACGCTGCTCCTGCCTGGGTTGGGCCTCGTGGATGGTGCTCTGACTCCAGCACCCACCTCCAAGTTGGCCTCCCTGCCTCCGCCTGCTGTGCGGCCACCTGCCCCGTGGCCTCTGCCGCCCGGAGCTTTGCGTGGGTTTCCAGCACTGGCTTACCAGCTCCAGGTCGCATTCTGGCCCAGTTCCCCCACAAACCTTTCCAGGCCACGTCTCAGTTCTTAGGGTGAGGCCTCCGTGGCGTCGGGTGACTGTGCACCCCTGCTCTACCCCTGCTGTGCGTCCCCCAGAGTACTCTCCTCAAGGCTCACCGCTGTATCTTGCCCGGCTTGGGCCTGGCCCGTGTCAAGAGGATCAATGAGAAGCAACCTAGCACAGTGCTGAGCAGGGTGGGATCGGTAGCGCCCCCTGCCCTCGCTTCTTTGACCGCTCCAGCCTGTGTGACTTCCTCCCTCTGCTCTTCAGCAACGGGCAGGATGGTCTGGCATGAAGAGTGGCCTGCAGTCGCCTGTCCTACCCTCTGCTTCATGTGGGTGAACCTTGTCCCCCACTAATCTTTGCACATACAGATGCTCCACACTCACTTCCTGTCTCAGTCTCTGAGTACTTCACCAGCCTATAGGGACTGTCCCGTCGGTGATCAGTGTCGCTGTTAGGGCTAGAGGGACCCTTGCGGGGCATCCACCACCCAGCCCCCCGTTCCAGTTTAGATGGGAAAAGGAGCTTCCAAGAAGGACAGGGAACTGTCCCAGGTCCCACAGCACAGGCTACCTTACCTTTGAAGAAGACAAATCTTCCATCAGCCCTTTCGTAGGCCGCATCGATGCGGGCAGGCAGGCCCTTCCAGAACTGCTCAATCTGCATGGGGTAGCCCTCCTGCACCCGGTTATTGCGCAGGCGCCAGAACCAGCGATCCTGGGGATTGTGGGAGTGGGGAGAGAAAGAGGCATGGCAGGCTGTGAGTCTCAACTCAGTGATCTTAGCTCTGGGGTTCAGACTCAACCCAGCACCTTCCCTGAGCCCAGCCTGGAGTCTGTCCACTACTCTTCTAATTTCCGGGGCCCTAGAGGAAGACAGGATGCTCCTGTAATTCTTCCTTTAAGCCTTCTGGTGGCTCTTGCTGCGAGACGGACCATGAGACACGCAGCAGACAGGAGAGTGCTGGTACTTGGAGTGGCCACATGAGGGCAGCAGAGAGTCACTTAGGCTCTGTATAGCTGCAGATGGCTCTGACGCAGGATCAAATAAGAGATTACAGAAGAAGTACCTAGAACAGTATGGGTCGCACAGCCCCTATTGAACAAATGGCAATAAATACCCAAGAGTCCAGTAAAAACCCTTCTCCCTGCCGCTGCCCTTGGCTGGTCAGCCGTCTGGGCAAGGTCTGTCATCTCCCAGCAACTCAGTTTTCCTGTGTGTCAGTGGAGATGATGAAACCCAGACTTGCCTACACCCAGCTCAGTTGGGAGGATCAAAGGGAAGCGAGTGCAGGGAAAAACCTGACCTGTGAAGGGCGGGAAAACACTAATACCTTCCCTGGCGTTTCTCACGGCACTCTGTGTCTGGTTTTTGGAGCTTGTTTTGGCTTTCCCAACTAAGTTGACCTGAGGTGCACACAGTCTTAAGAGAGGCCAAATGATTTACCTAGAGCCCTTCAGGGAGAGCCAGGGCTGGGGCTGGCGCGTGTCGCCCGATTCTTGCTCGTGCTGGAGGCTCACGGGAAAGGCCTCCATGAGGGGAGCAGAGCAGCCACTCAGCCAGCCAGTGTGGTGTAGATGTGCCTGGTGGCCGGCAGGCAGTGGTCACTGCCAGGCCCTTTGGGGATGGCCTCAGCTTTGGAAAGCCTCTCCCAAGATCATGCCCTTCCCCATACCAGTGACCGACTGAGGCAAGCGGTCCCACGTGGGATGACTGATAGGCCATTCTGGCTGCAGAACTCCCTGGCCAAGTCTCCATGCACTGTGGGGACTTCTCCCTGGGCGCCATCTTCACCTCCTTCCCATAGAACCCATCCTAAAGGTATTTTCCAAGCAGAATCCCGCATTTCAAACTGTGTGTCACAGAGCCCGACACGGGCACACCATGGGGCTGCTGCCCTGGCAGTCCTGGATTGTGGGGAGCAACCCGGACTAGACTGAGTTACTGGAATTAAGACTTATTCTATGCATCTGCTCCCCCACAGAATGGCGCTGGGAGAGGAGGAAAACAGCTTCTACACAGCTGCCTCCAGTTCAACCAATAAACTGTAGGACCTGCTCCTGATTGCAGGAGAGCAGCGCGCTCAGCGTGTGGGTAGCAGAGTTGGGATTGGTGGAAGAGGACTATAAAGGAGGAGAGAGACAACATGCACCAGGAACATCTAAGGGGAACACCTGTGCAGCCCCCGAGAGAGCCGGCCGGTGGTGTGCCACTCCCCTGCGGAAGTGGGGAATGTGGCAGGGGGAACCGCCCTTCCACAGAGGTGGAAGGGACGGTAGCCAACCCGGGAAGAACCAGCAGCAAACCCGGGGAGGGCCGAGCAGACGAAAGAACAGCGCAGGGTCCTGTGTCGTTCCTCCACGAAGACGGGGAGCGACATAATGGTGCCGTGACTCGGATATGAAGCCTAGGCAGGGTTTAGTGTCATTCCTCCACGAAGAGTGGGAGCGACATAATGGTGCCGTGACTCGGATATGAAGCCTAGGCAGGGTTTAGTGTCGTTCCTCCACGAAGAGGGGGAGCAACATAATGGTGCCGTGACTCGGATAGGAAACCTAAGAGGGAAGAAACGGGAAGAAGTGGAAAATGCCGGAGAGAGAGACTAGCAAACAGCCTAGGGAAAAGCCGGACAGAAAAGGTGCCGGAAGAAGCTATCGAAAGCCTAGGCATAGACTCGGATACGGACTGTGGGAAAGAAGTTAGGATTTAAAGTGAAAGCAAGAAGAAACTTAGACTCAGATACGGACTGCAGGTTGAAAGTGAAAGTGAAACCTATAAGAAACTTAGACTTGGATACGGACTGTGGGGAGAGGCCAGGAGAAATGAGGGAGGAATATTGTTGGAAGAAAACTTAGGGAAACATACCGGGTAGAGAAAAATGTTAGGGAGGATGAAGCCGCGAGTGCAGGCCAAGGCGGAAACGGAAGCCATCTTGGAATTCTTCAAGTCAGCCCGGGGAGCAAGAGGCGAAGATCTGGAACCAGAGGCAGAGACGTGGGCCCCCAGGTTGGAATTCGCCAGGTTAGTCCGGGGAACTTGGACTGAATACCGGTGGTGGCGGAAACGTGAGCTACGCTGTGTGATTCGCGGAAGCCGCCGCGTGCAGAGAGAGCACGGGGCGTGAATAGATAGGGAACGCGGGGCTGGCGCGAGGCCGTGGTGCGGGCGCAAAGGGCGTGGAGACTGCGGAGTGTGTGCGCGAAGCCGAGCTGCGCAGAGCCAGGAGCCCGCGCAGATGAGAGAAGCGCGGGCTGAAGCGGCTCAGAGCCGGGAAGCCGCCGAGAAGCAGCCTCGGAGCGGGCGCCGGGAAGCCGCAGGGATAAGAGAAACAGAAGTTTAGAAGTAAAATGAGAGAAATAGGAATGCTGGCAGATAGAAGTAAAATAGGAGAGATAGGAATGCCCGGAGATAGAGAAATAGAGAAAAATAAGGCCTCCCCTCAACATGGCAATGAGAGAGCTTGGATTCGGTCTGCCTGATTAGGACGATAAGCACCTGTGGGCGGCTAGCAGCTTATGCGCCGCAGGTCACCGAAGACAGGCACGAATTAACACCAATAAGTCTCCCCACAATACGGCAATGAGAAGGCTTGGATTCGGTTTGCCTAATAGGGCTTGTAAGCACCTGCAGGCAGTTCTAGCAGAGTAGAGCATGCGCTGCAGGGCACCGAACACAGGCACGCATCAGCGCCTAAAAACCTCCTCACAACATGGCGAAGAGAGGACCCGGATTCGGTTTGCCTGATTGATAGGACTTGTAAGCACCTGTGGGCAACTCTAGCAAGCAGAGCAGAGTGTGTGCTGCGGGGCACCGAAGACAGGCGCGTGTCAACGCCAAAAAATAAAAAGAAAGGGGGATCTGTGGGGAGCAACCCGGACTAGACTGAGTTACTGGAATTAAGACTTATTCTATGCATCTGCTCCCCCACAGAATGGCGCTGGGAGAGGAGGAAAACAGCTTCTACACAGCTGCCTCCAGTTCAACCAATAAACTGTAGGACCTGCTCCTGATTGCAGGAGAGCAGCGTACTTGGCGTGTGGGTAGCAGAGTTGGGATTGGTGGAAGAGGACTATAAAGGAGGAGAGAGACAACATGCACCAGGAACATCTAAGGGGAACACCTGTGCAGCCCCCGAGAGAGCCGGCCGGTGGTGTGCCGCTCCCCTGCGGAAGTGGGGAATGTGGCAGGGGGAACCGCCCTTCCACAGAGGTGGAAGGGACGGTAGCCAACCCGGGAAGAACCAGCAGCAAACCCGGGGAGGGCCGAGCAGACGAAAGAACAGCGCAGGGTCCTGTGTCGTTCCTCCACGAAGACGGGGAGCGACACTGGATGTTCCATGGACAGCTTCCCCTCAGGCACCCCCCTCCCCAGCACCAACCCACCCCAGTTGTTAGAGCAGAGACTCCCCCATGTTTCAGACGGAGAAATTGAGGCCCGGAGAAGAGAGGTGACTTGCTCAAGGTCACAGCCCCGAAGCCACTTTCAGCACCTTCCCCCGCGTTCACCCTGTGAAGGTGCGGGATCTTCATTCTCTCCCCTCTGCCTCCTGGACATGAGCTGATTCACTTGGCAGAGCCAAGAAGAGACCCTAAGTCGTGGCCGCTGGGCTGGCTCCCACCCAGGCCCCACAGTAGCCCCATCTTAGGGCGGGAGGTTTCCTGGCTCTGTGGCAGGGGAAAGAGCAGGGAGGACTGCCCGGCTGGTGCCATTCCACGGGCCCTACCTTAAACACGAACATCTCGCCCCGGAAGAGGGCCACTGTGTTGAAGTTGCCATCGCAGATGTTGGGTTTGGTGCCTGGCGTGGACGGCCGGTCCCCCAGGGGGGGCCGAGGGGGCCTGGGTTGGCGCTCATGCTTCCTCTCGGATGGGGAGTGCATCCTGCGGACAGGGAGCGTGGGGAGGGGCCTCGTGGGCTCCAGAGGCTCGGCGGGAGGTCCTGGAGAGAGGGCTGCATCTTAGAGAGGGACCAGCCATCGCCCGCCTCCCCCGCCTTTGCCTCGTCATCACCCAGGCAGCTCCAAGTCAAAGCTGTCACCTGCCAGCCTCCTGTCCCCTCTCCCCAATTTCACTCCCCCATTTATTGAGGAAGAAAAAAAAAAGAAAATAGTCATTAGCTGGGACACTCATCTTTCCCATCTGGTATCATTCCAGTTACAGCAGCAAACACGCCCTTCCTTAGGATCACCGTCTCGGGCCCTATTACTCCGCTCCCCTACACACACCGGCCCCATAGTCTCACCCCTTCATTCTTCACCCACTTCAATACTACAGTTTCTGCCTCGTCACCCACTCACTCTGCTTGGCCACGATCACCAGAGACCTCCATGTTGCCAAGTCTAGGGCTCACTTGACTCAAGCTTGGTGAGCACAGAACTCAGCCGGGATCTGCACAGCAGGCCGATGGTGACTCAGGACTTGGGGGGCGGGGAGCTCGGATTCTGCATTTCCTAGAGCTCTCCTGGAAAGCCAGGGTTGCTGGGCTGAGGCCCCCTCGCTGAGCGGCAAGATCAGAGAAGCACTTTCCTTGAAAGCCTGTCCTCTCTCCTGCTGCCCTGCGGCACTCGGCACTCTCTTGTTCCTTGCTGGGCCGTTCCCTGTCAGCCTCCTTTGCTGGAAACTTCCCTGTCCGCTGTAAAGGCTGCAGTGTCCCTGGGGCCTCTTCTTTCTCCGCACTTTTGTCCCTGAGCTGGCACTTCTCATCTCGGGCTGTACATTAGGATCAGCAGAGGAAGCTTCTGAAACTCTAGGCTCTTGGGGCTGGCGTGGCAGGTTGAGTTGCCACCTGTGATGCCAGCATACTACAACAGGCCCTGGTTCAAGTCCTGGCTGCTTCACTTTTTTGTTTGTTTGTTTGTTTGTTTTAGATTTATTGTATTTATTTAAAAGGCAGAGTTATATAGAGAGGGAAAGACAGAGGTCTTCCATCTGCTGGCTCACTACCTGCATAGCCACAATGGCTTGGCCTGGGTCAGGCTGAAACCAGGAGCCAAGAGCTTCTTTTGAGTCTCCCACATGGATGCAGGGCCCAAGCAGTTGGGCCGTCCTCCACTGCTTTCCCAGGTACATTAGCAGGGAACTGGACCAGAAAAGGAGCAGCTGGGACTTGAACTAGTGCCCATATGGGATGCCAGCACTGCAGGTGGTGGCTTCACCTGCTATGCCACAACACTGGTCCCTGCTGCACTTCTGATCCAGCTGCTGCCTTATGGCCTGGGAAAGTAGCAGAAGATGGCCCAAGTGGTTTGGCCCCTGCCACTCACGGACAGACCAAGAACCAAGCGCCTGGTTCCTGGCTCCTAGTTTCAGCCTGGCTCAGCTCTGGCTGTTGTGGCCATTTGGGGAGTGAACCAGTAGATGGGAGATCTCTCTGTAACTCTGTCATCTTTAAACAAATAAACAAAATCTCCAGATTCTCTAGGAGGCACCCGAAACCAACTGCAGGCAAATCCTTAGGGGGTGAGGGCTAGGTGTTTGCATTTGCCTTAGAATCCGTCAGCAGCCACGTTGAGGACCCCTACTTCAGGGGGGGCTCACACAAGTTCATGGCTTTGGGGACCCTCAGAGCTGTCCACCTTCCTGGTGATGACAGAGGTATTCTGTGTGTGCACGGCCCCATGGGGCAGCCCTGGCCACGTTCGTGTGTGGCTACGGAACACTCAGAGTGAGCAGTTTGTTCTTAGTGTGACTGAGGAACTGAAGATTTATTTTTAAAAAAGGTTGATTTATTTCTTTACTTGAAGGCAGAGTGAGAGATCTCCACATCTGCTGGTTCACCTCCCGGATGCGTGCGTCAGCCGGGAGCCTGGGGCCGTGCCTCCCACGTGATGGTAGGGACTCAGATACTTGGGCCATCATCTGCTTCCTCCGGGTGCACTGGCAGGAATCCTGATTGGAAGCAGGGTAGCCAGGACTTCAACCAGGCCCTCTGATATGGGATGTGGGCATCCCAGGCAGCGGCTTAACCTGCTGTGCCCCTTAATTGTGTCTTTTTTTTTTTTTTTTTTTTGACAGGCAGAGTGGACAGTGAGAGAGAGAGAGACAGAGAGAAAGGTCTTCCTTTTGCTGTTGGTTCACCCTCCAATGGCCGCCACAGCTGGCGCGCTGCGGCCGGCGCACCGCACTGATCCAAAGGCAGGAGCCAGGTGCTTCTTCTGGTCTCCCATGGGGTGCAGGGCCCAAGTACTTGGGCCATCCTCCACTGCACTCCCTGGCCACAGCAGAGAGCTGGCCTGGAAGAGGGGCAACCGGGAAAGAATCTGGTGACCCGACCAGGATTAGAACCCGGTGTGCCGGCGCCGCTAGGTGGAGGATTAGCCTACTGAGCCGCGGCACTGGCCTAATTGTGTCTTAATTAACATTTAACTTTCAAATAGCCACGTGTGGTTAGTGATGACATGACTGATGACTGGTAAATCCTGTTGCCCATGATTGAAACCTCGGCATTGGCATTGACCTTTCTTTGACTCCTCTCACCCTCACGTCTGATTTGTCAGATCTTGTCCATTCTACTCTCAAAACAGCTTCCAGCTCCTGACCCACGTCCTTCACTTGTCCTCTGTCTTTCGCCTGTGGAGGCGGGGCCTGAGTTGTGTGGACAAGCCCGTCTCGACTGACCTGGGCAGAACTGGGACCTCACACACCAGCGCGACCTGACCTGCCGGAGGCACGCAGGCGGCCTTTCATTCAGAGAGCAGCCTAGCGTCTTACTTTTCACCTGTGTGAGATCAACGCTCTGGTTATAATGCTCATCACACTGAACCACTGTAGGACAGATGTGCGGATCTTGGCCAGGGGAGCGCCCATGAGAGCGCCTGGTCCCCCTGTGGCAGAGGAAGGGATTGCAGCACAGAGGGTGCGGAGAAGAGGGAGTGGGTGGGCCTCCCTGGGATGCCTCCCAGTCGCAGCCCAGACTCACGCCTAGGCTTCCCAAGTGTGCTGCTGGGGGACGCTTGTGAGCACAGCCCACCCCAGCCCCCACTCACCATAGATCTTCTGGATGCCCTGCAGGTCGTCCTGGGGCAGCTTGAAGTTGTGCGTCTCCATGTACTGGTAGAAGGGTGCCATGATGGCACTGGGGTCATTGGAGTGCTCCAGTCCCAGTGCGTGGCCCAGCTCATGCACAGCCACCAGGAAGAGGTCATTCCCTGTGGAGAAGGCCATGGGGAGGTGCTCAGGGCACCCAGTTAGGTATCAGGCTATCCACTCCTCCTGCAGACACAGCACATGCCTTGTGCCAGGCCCTGTGCTGGCCACTGGGGACAGGCAGGGACATCGGACACAGCCCCTGCTTTCCAGCTGCAGTGGGGGATGTGGGGAGGGGAGCACACTGAGCAACTGTCCCAGTGCTTTCACCCACGTCCGTAAGGGCTGAGGGGGTTCTGCAGAGGGAGGGCCCATGTAGACCTTGAGGAAGATATTCAGGGACAGCTTTGCACAAGCGGAGCTCAAGTCCTGAAAGGTACCCAGGCAGTCGGGAGGGTGGGAGAGGAGGAGAGGTGGGGTGGCATTCTTGGCAGAGGCGATGCTAAACAAGTCCAGGGACAAGCAGTTTCATTCCACTTGGCTCTGGAACAAAGCAGGGGGGAGGGCCAGGGGGTGAGGTCAGCCAGGCTGGCAGGCGGGGCTCTGTAATGCCCTACAAAGGAATGTGGGTCAGCTTCTTGGCCGTGGGGAGTGAGGGCCATGGCAGGATGAGGTCACTCTGGCTTCAGTGGTCGGGGGATGGAGAGGGACAAGACCCAAGGCAAGAGGACCAGTGAGGTCAGTTTGGAAGCTAGTGCCAGGATCCAGCTGGGAGATGAAAAAGGTCTGAGCCCGGGTGGATGAAGGTGGTGGGGACAAACAAAGTCCTGGGAGCAGCCACGGGCACTCAGCTTCAGGACCCAAGGCAGGTGGGCTTCTGGGTGTGGTGCAGCTCTAAGTCAGCAAGACCTGGGTCCTGGAAGAACCAAACTGCTGGCCAAGATGAGGGTGGGAGTTCAAGTGCACGTGAAAACAGGTCCAGGTCCGACAGTGGCACACAGGATCTGGAGTGTGAACTGGGGGCAGCATGGCCCGTGGCTGGGAGCATGGGCTCCGGAATGGGAGGGACACCTTCATCTTCAGCTCTACCCTTACCCCACCTGCTTTATGAACTTGGCCAGGAGGTCAGTGTCCTCATTTGTAAAAAGGGGATGTTACACCTGACTCCTAAGTGTTGCATGAGAACTGAGTAAGACCACCTGCTCATATGTAAAGGTGGTGTGGTATTTGATGGTGGCTGTCATGTAAGACAGAAGTTTGGTTGTTGGAACAAGCCCCTTGACCGGAAAGGAAGCACAGGGCCAGTGGGGCTCCAGCAAGCAGCTCCCTTAAAGCCAGCTCCCCTGAGCTGCTTCTGTATTAGGCCTAGGGCAGGGAAGTCCTGAATTTGGAAAAGAAATGCAAGGGGCAGGGAGTCGGGCAGAGCGTGGTGTCCACAGGCCTGACCCCTGTCTGCTTGATTACAGACCCCTGCTTGCTGCGACCCCTGGCACTCGCACACCCCCTTGAGCACTGCCTCTTATCTCCTGGTCTCAAGGCCCATCTCAGCCCATTTCTGCCACCTCTCAGTCCAAGGAGGCTTCCAGAACCCTAGGAGCTGCTCTGGAATCCTGCCCACCCTGGCCCCAGCCAGCATCACTGGCAAAGTTGCCTTACTGTAGTGCAGGGAGGGTCAGGTGGGGATGGGAATCATTTGGCCTCCCTGGCTAAGGCCTTAGGAAGGGACAAGAACCCCCTGGGGCGTACGCAGTGGGAAGTGCGTGCCTGCCTGTCTGCTGACATCACCAGTGTCTTCAGCGAAGCCACCTCTGAGCAACAGAAAGGGAGGAGGATGGGCAAGATCAGTGCAAGGTTGGCCAAAAGCCTGGGGCTGGCCTTCTGGTGGGGAAGGGCGTGCTGGCAGGAGGAGGCCAGGCCGCCCCCAGCTCCTCCCTCAGGTCCTGGTCCTCCTGGCAGCGGGAAGGTGTGAGCTCATCTCTGAGCTCCGTCCCAAACCGAGGCGGCTGCTAGAGCCAGCGGAAGGCAGCTCTGCTTCCTGGGGTCCGGCCCTGGCTCTGCTCCTGGCCTGTTCCTGGACCTGGGACAAGCTGTTCAGGGCCTCTGTCTCCTGAGCAGGCTCCTCCTCAGGGGTCTCTGCAGGGCACCAGGAGCAGGGCTCGGAGCATCTGGGAGACTCAACCTCCGTCCTCAGCCTGCGCCTGTTACCTCTCTGCCCGGCTCTGCAGGGAACAGGAGTGACCCCGGAGGCCAGGGGGCTGTGGACTGGTTCCAGAGGCCAGACGGAAGAGAAGAGCCGGGAGCTGGCACCCTACTGCACAGAAACCCAGGAGGGCTCCGGTGGGGAGACGGAGGGAGGGGCAGGTGCGGCGGGACTTCCCGAGCTTGTAAGGGAAAGCAGAGGTGTGAGGAGGCGAGGCCCGGCCTGCTCTGGGGAAGACCCCCTGCTTCCGGGGCAGGGCCTATTAGCGCCTTCACTCCCCAAGAGGCAGCAGGGCGGGCAGGAGTGGGGTCTCTGGGAGCCAGATTGCCTGGCTTTGAACCCCAGCTCTGCCGTGTCTTGGCAGTATGATATGTGAACCCTCTTCCCCTGACAAACGAAGGGAATGCTAGTGCCTTCTTGGTGAGGATGGGGAAAGATGAACAAGGCGGGGCGTGTGACGCGCTCCCGGCAGGGCAGGGTCGTGCTGAGCTGGGCGAGGACTGGCCTCCCGGCTCAGCGTGCTCCCCCGAGGCCCTGGGCCTCTGGGCAAGGCCCCTGCCGTCCACTCAGCTGCCCTCCTGCGCCTTGTCACTTCCTTTCCTTTCCCTAGGCCTCCGTATTTGGCATTCACGTCTCAGTGACTCTCCCAACCCTCAAAAAGCACTTTGTTTTTGCTAATGCTGTCCCCTCTCCCTGGATCAACCTTAGGCTTTTTTTTTTTTTTTTTTTTTTTGACAGCAGAGTTAGAGAGAGAGACAGAGAGGAAGGTCTTCCTTTTCTGTTGGTTCACCCCCCAAATGGCTGCTACAGCCGGTGTACTGCGCTGATCCGAAGCCAGGAGCCAGCTGCTTCCTCCTGGTCTCCCATGCGGGTGCAGGGCCCAAGCACTTAGGCCATCCTCCACTGCCTTCCCGGGCCACAGCAGAGAGCTGGACAGGAAGAGGAGCAATCAGGACAGAATCTGGCGCCCCAACCAGGACTAGAACCCGGTGTGCCGACACCGCAGGTGGAGGATTAGCCTAGTGAGCCGCGGCGCCGGCCAACCTCAGGCTGTTGAAGTTCAGCTCAATGCCCCTCTCTTTCAGGAAGCCTTCCTTGATTTCCTCAGTTGCCGGTGAAGGATTCCTCTTTGGCAGCCTCCTGGCAGTTTCTCGGGAACTGTAGGCACTGAAAACTTTGCACCCTGCGTTAAGGCCACTGGTGCACACTCTTCACCTGCCCCGAGACAGAGAGCTCTGTGCTTGGCTGGGTGAGGTGACAGACCCCCCCCCCCCGTGGGCCTGTTCCAAATGGCAGAGTCCTGGGCTCACAGCCGGCCCTGCCACTTAGCAGCTATGCAGCTTCCTCCTGTACAAGGGAGACTGCCGTTCCTGGCGGCTGCCTCCCGGGGTGGGGGACAGCGAGGTCAGAGGGGAGGTCACCTTGTCCTGGGCAGGAGCAGCACAGCTTGGGGTCTGCTCACTGCTGGGGTTGACTCATTGCAAGGAAAGGAGCACGGAGCGAGCAGACGTAGCCTCTGAAGCCGGCATCCAGGCGTGCGGGCTGGCCTGCTCCGTCCCACGCGCCAATAGGTGGGGAACCAGCACCTTCACCATCCAGTGTTTCCAGGGAGCCTTTTAAACACGCAGGCGGGACACTCTGACCAAGCAGGGTCGGGTCAGGACGGAGGAGATAACCCCACCCCCACCCCCGCCCTGTTCCCCAGGTGAATTGTATCAGGTCAGGTTAGCACAGCCTAAAACAGTGTTCAACGTTAACATCACTAGAAGGGAGACAAGCTGCATGCTCTGTGCTTCTGCAGGGGATGAAGAGGAAGTACCAGCACCACCCAGTTCACGTTTTCGCCGCACAACGTGACCCTGAGTGGGGGCAGGCTGTGGCTCTGTTGAGCGACACTCAGCGATGTCTGGGAGGTGAGGCTGTCCGGAGAGCAGCGGAACCCCGCCACGCCAAGCCACTGCACCCAGGACAAGTGACAAGTGACCCGGTTTCTTCCACAGACACCCGAGGGGACTGTTTCAAATTCTTGGGGCTTCAGGAGCCCGTCCGCCATGTGTGATGCGAGGATCTTGTTTGAATCCTGATTCAAGAACGCAGCTATGAAAGACGTTGCTGAGGCAATTTGGGAAAGCAGATGCAGTACTGGATATTAGATTTTAAGAAATTAATTATTTTGTAGAGGTTGATAGTGATTTTGTCGTTATGTTAAAAGCTAAGTCTCTTATCTGTTAAAAGGCCTACACTGAGGAATTGACAGATGAAATGAAATTGTGCCTGGGATTTTCCTTAAAATATACCAGCTAAAAACAAAAACCAAAAAACTCAACAGAGTGTCTGGGGCAGATGAGTCGGGACTCAGGAGTGACATGTGCTGACAACTGCTGAAGCAGGTGATGAGGGTCGGGGTGGGGGGTCACAACATCACTGTCCCTACTTTCGTGAATTCGAAATTATTCATAATGAAAGTATAGAAAACAGGCTGACGCCGCGGCTCACTAGGCTAATCCTCCGCCTTGCGGCGCCGGCACACCGGGTTCTAGTCCCGGTCAGGGCGCCGGATTCTGTCCCGGTTGCCCCTCTTCCAGGCCAGCTCTCTGCTGTGGCCAGGGAGTACAGTGGAGGATGGCCCAAGTGTTTGAGCCCTGTACCCCATGGGAGACCAGGATAAGTACCTGGCTCCTGCCATCGGATCAGTGCGGTGCGCTGGCCGCAGCGCGCCGGCCGCTGGAGGGTGAACCAACAGAAAAGGAAGAGCTTTCTCTCTGTCTCTCTCTCTTACTGTCCACTCTGCCTGTCAAAAAAAAAAAAAAAAAAAAAAGAAAGAAAGAATAGAAAACAGAAGACAGCCAATAATCAGAAAGTTCCCAGCAGACCCTGCTCACGCCCTTGATAAGACTTAGTGGAAGTTACGTGAGATGATGCACAGGTGTGCCACACACCTTTTCCCTCCCCTCTCTCTCCAAACCTCTCTTAAGAGAATCTACTGCCTCCCAGCTCCTCAGTCAGGGCTCTCCTGCTGTGGCTCTGAGCTGCATCTGGACAGTCCTTGCTTGGTTCTCCAGAGCAAAGTCCTGACTGTTGTCCAAAAAAGGCATTGGCCATTGTGGGATCTCACAGAGTCGCTGGCCATTCATCAGACATGGGCTGGGTGCTGGGTGCTGCCTACCCACAGGCCCCAGATCCTTCTTGAGCAAGGGGTGAGCGTGGGATAAGCACACCCGCAGGGCCGGGTGGAAGAGGCAGGTGGAGGAACAGGGGTGTCTTCCCATCCTCCTCTGGACAGCAACCCTTTGAAAATCCATGTTTCTGTGTCAGGGCTGTGACTAAACTCTCATCAGCTAGCAGTGCCAGGCACAAAACAGGGCCTCAAAAATGTTAGTACTCATCTCCTCACACCTTATCAGCTAGCACAGTCATTCACCGACACTGATCCAAAGCCAAGAATGCGATCAAGAGCAGGTGTGCAGAAAGCCAGGCAACACATCCAGGACACAGGGGAGAGATACCAGGGCGAGGAAGCGCAGCTTCTTAGGAAAGAGGGCAGCGAGAACGTGAACATTTTTGTGACGTTGCCTAGGCTGAGCCTTGGCCAAACCTCCGGAGCCAGCCTTCGGCAGAGTAGGCTGAGAGCGGCCAATCCCTCATCCCTGCACTGACGGGACATGTCTTTTCAGAGGTGATCACTTTTTCTGGGCACCAAACTCAGCTTCTAAGAAACTAGCCCTGGAAGAGCTGCCGTCAGCCTGAGACATTGCCACGAACACAAAAAGATGCCCAGGGTTCTCCAAACTTGCTTGAGCGGGGCTTGGGAGTTCATTGTTTATAACAAGAACCCCAGCCGGTTCCCACGATCAGGAAGGTTAGGGCTGTGGGACTGAAGTAGTTTTCTCAGGGTGATGGGACACTTGCATGAGAGCCACCGGGGGAATTTATCAAGCCAAGTACACGTTCCCAGGCCCTACCCCAACCCAGAGAAGAACAATGGCAAGAAGTTAGGGGCCTGGAGCCTGAATTTGTGTTCTTAAAAATTGCTTCTAGAGGCCTGCGCCACGGCTCACTAGGCTAATCCTCCGCCTGCGGAGCTGGCACCCGGGTTCTAGTCCCGGCTGGGGCGTCAGGTACTAGTCCCGGTTGCTCCTCTTCCAGTCCAGCTCTGTGCTGTGGCCCTAGAGTGCAGTGGAGGATGGCCCAAGTGCTTGGGCCCCTGCACCCGCAGGGAGACCAGGAGGAAGCACCTGGCTCCTGGCTTCGGATCGGCACAGCGCGCCGGCCGTGGCAGCCATTAGGGGTGTGAACCAACAGAAAAGGAAGACCTTTCTCTCTCTCTTTCTCTCTCTCACTGTCTAACTCTGCCTGTCAAAAAAAAAAAAAAAAATTGCTTCTAGCTCTTTCCAGTGTGCCCTGAGGCTTGAGAACCGTGCGTGGTGCTTCACGTGGTGGCTAAGAGCGTGGGCTCCAGAGTCACGATGCCCAGGTTCAAAGCCATATTTCACCATTCACCAACGGTGGCAACTGAGGCTGCTTCGTGTTTCTCCACACCTCAGTTTACCTATCTGTAAAATGAGGAGGGTAGTCATATGCACCTAAGCTCTTATAGGTACTGCATGCTAACCGATCGCGCTACTGGAGCTCCCCACCTAGACTCTAATGTGGTGAAAGCACTTGGCCTGGGCTTTGGAACATGAACACCCCACTAACTGTTATTTGTTGCAATCAAAAAATGACTCCACTAGCCTTCTTCCCTCCAGGCATCCCTGCGTTTGTCTGCCTTGTGACAGGGTCACTTACTTAGGGACACATCTTGTCTCTTGACTTCCAGAGGGCACAAACCATGTCTTTTTTTTTTTTTTTTTTTTTATGTTTAGTCCGTCCCCTTGGTCCTTGCAGGACTTTGCTTCATGTGAGAGTTGGAAGGGACCTTAGAGAACGTGTAATCCAGCCCCTTATTTTACAGATGAGGCGGCAGAGGGTGAATCGTTCATCCCTACTCACATAACCAGGTAGTTAACTAGGATGTGGGCCCCAGCGCTACCGCCTACCAGCCATGTTATTTGAGCCCTGAACTCTGCATCTTCAAAAGGGGTACAGATGTATGTCTTTGGCCACTGTTTGCTCAGCAGGAACCTTGGAAGTAAATGTCGGGGAGGAACTCCTTGGCAGCCTGAAGAATACTCCTACTGCATGGTGCTGACTCTGGCTCCATAAGTAGTCAGTGCCTCGCTGTGGCACAGGGCAAGCTACCCAAGGGTGCTAGAATAATTTCAGGGCCTGTTTGACCTAAGGGAGAGAGTTGGTCGGTCCACCTGTAAGTGGTGTTTGGAGACCTGGTTACTCAAGCCAGAGTCTGCCACTTGCTGACCCCGCTTCTCAGCTCTGACGCCTTGTTACCTTCTTCTTCAGCCTTCAACACCTTACTTTGCCTTCTTGTTCATGGCCTAACCCCCTCTTGCCTCAGTCCAATTAGACCGTCTCCTGAGTGGTCCACCCTATCTCTGTGGCCCTGAACCTGATGAGTCAAAAGTTGACACCATCAGAGACCTCAGCTCCCATCTTCTCAGGTTCTTAGTTCTTGGCTAGAAAGCTCTAGAATGCAGAAAACTCATCCATGGAGCCCCCTAAGCTCTTCCTCAGGGCTTCCTTCCCTGCAAACTGGGCAGCACAGGACTCCCCCTTGCCCTCTTGTGGCCTTACCATCATGGTTGGCATTTCCTAGCGTCCACGGCTCATCTGAGTCAAAGTGGGTATCTCCTCCGATTCCTGGGCCAGGGAAGTAGGCGTGGGCCAAGAATCCCCCTTCCCCATCAAATGGGGAGCTGTCACCATGGAAACCAGAAGCAAAGAAGATCATGATGTCTGCTTCCTTCCGGTCACTTTTGATCTCATGGTATGGCACCTCTTCAAAGGTCAGCGGGGTCACCTTCTGCCACACGTCAAAGGCCTGGCGAATAGCTTTCCGTGTGTCTAGCTCGCCCACCTTTGGGGTATAGTTGTGAATGCTGGCGAGAGAGGGGAGGGTCATTAGGGACGAAGAGAGAGACTGAGGGGAGCTGAAAGGGATGTCAGAGACAACACAGCCCAGTGGGCTTCGTACTTTGAACCCCACAGTTTTGGCATCTGCCCTAGGGGTCGCCGAGTAGACAGAGCTCTGCATCCCACCCCTGCCCCCTTTGGAGTAACTTTGCTTGAATCCCTGTCTTATATCTGATTTCTGACAAAGTTTGGGTTGAATAAGGGATTGCACTCCAACTTGTAGAAAAAAACCAACTTGGTAGATAACATTTTCTAAATTTTAAGTCTTTTCTCCCAACGTAGAAAATCTATGCACCTAGAAAAGTCATTGTTGAAATACTCAGAGTTTAAGTGAAAAACCCATTTAAAAGGACCTTTGGCACCAGCTACTGCTTGTCTGCCGGAGGCTGGTATAGAGTGGAATCAGAACTAGCCTGTTGTCAACTTGGCTATTTAAGATCGCTCTGTCCATACTGCACAGCTGTCCACAAAGGGGCATCACTACTTATGAGAGCTCTACCCCATGAACACCGGGGGCACAGACCATTCTCCCCACTCAGTAAGTGAGGGAACCGAGGCCCCGAGGGGTTGGGTGATAGACATTAAGGTCAGAGTTGGGTTAGAACCCAGTTCTTTTTCATCTCGATTCCTTCTCTTCTTCTATTCAGTTCCTAACCCAGATTCTTCTTAAATTTCCCTCTCATCAGATTTCTGGAAAAAAACCAGCCTGGCAGCAGGAGGGCCCGGGGTTTAACTCTCGGGATCCCCGTCCGCATCTCCGAGGCCGTCCGAGCCTGCCCCACGCCTGGGCCTTGCCTCAGCCCCACCTGAATTCTGATGTAGGGTCTCCTGTGATGGCCCCACCAGTGCCACCTTCGGTCCCCTGGGGTGACTGGACTGATCTTGTTCCCCCCTGGCTTCCCCAGGTAGCCTAGGAATGGCGCTGTCAGTCAGGTGCCAATGCTTTACGTTCCTCGGAGTGACTGGGACTCTGTGTTGGAAATCTTGGGAGAAGTCCATCAGGTCAATTTTGGGTGAGTGTGTGGGTGGGGATCCCGACTAGAGGAAGTGGGATTTGGCAAGCTGTGATTGGGAGAGTGAGTTCAGCCATTGTTCTTCATCACAGCTAAAAGGTACTAGACAATGCATATCCCACTTTCTAGAACTAACTGTGGGCATCTCTGAACAGAACACAAATAACAAGGCCCCAAAGGACCAAATAAACCAGAAGGTGGAGTTGTAGCAGCCTGTGGAAGCCATAAGGAGCACAAAGGCACAGGTTCCGTGTACTTGGTCCTGAGGCCTTCTTACCTGGCCCTTGCCCTAAGCCCCGGGCCCACCTATAGTAAGTGTCTCTGAAACTCAGGCCAGGAAAAACAGAGCAAGTATGGAACCAAACCCAGGGAGGAAGAGAGGGAGTCGAGGCACCTGTAGGTGATGTGCTTTTGCCTCCACTTCTGTCCAGTCAGGGCATAGCGCTTGTTTCTCCGCCTACGGCTCAAGTGGGGGTGATCAGGAACGCCACATCGGGGTTTCTTCATCCACCTGGGCAGAGAGAGGACACACACATATACACACTGTGGTCACTGAGCACCCTAGAAAGGCGTCATGGAGCCCCCAGTGCAGAGTGCACCCTTAACCTAGATGCTGGGTTCTGACGGACCCCACAGGAGTTTGGATAACTGATCGGCTCACGGATTCATTCGCTCACAGTCAGATATGGAGCGACACTGTTGTGTAAGAGCCCAGGAGTCAGGAAACAGCGCTTGATAAGTTCTCGCTCCACCACTAATCTCAGGGCGCCAGGCAGGTGACTGAAGCAGTGCCAGCCCCAGTTTCCTCATCTGCGTCGCAGCAGTTAGGGTTCTTTCTGTTCTTAGGTTGCAGTGAATCTCAGAGGAGGGAGTGTACGTGAAAACCTCTGAAAATGCGATCCGATCACACCGCTCTCTGGTTTAAAAGCCCCCAATCTTCCTGAAACTCCTAGGATAAGGTTTCAGCTCCTCACCCTGACCCACAAGGCCCTGTGTGGCCCAGCCCTTGCCTACCCGACCCACACTGTCCCCTTCCCCCCTCACCTCTGCTCCCACCACAGGGACCTTCTTGCGGCTCCTGGAACGTGCCCAGCCCATTTCCACTCCAGGGACTTTGCTGTCCCTCCTTGCAGTGCTCTCCTTGGTTTGTCCCCTCACGTTATGCAGGTCTCTGCCCTCCAGTGAGGACTCCCCTGTCCACCCTATCTAAATAGCCTCCCCGGCCGCATGTCTGATGATCCTGCTTAATTTTTCTTCAGAGTTTCTAATACTTCCTGAAATTATGCATATGATTTCTTGTTTAGTCTTTGTCTCTTTCATCAGATCCCGAGCTCATGAGGATAGGAATCCTCCCTGGATGCCAGGATGATCACAGAGCCAGGCACAGGAGACTGACCAGGATTTGTTGACTGACTAGCTGACTGAATGAATGAATCAGATTTCTCCAATAGTAGGATGGGTTAGCATAGAAGACCTCAAATCCACTTTCACTAAAAGTGTTCAAGAAGTGACTAAACAACACAGAGAGTTCTCTGCACTGCTTATTATGGTGTATTGTGACTGGACGTCTACCAGCCTGTGGCCTCTAGTAAACTGTACATTCTTTAAGGCCAAGAACTGTGCCAGAATCATCACAGTGTCCCCAGATGCTAGAACCAAGTAAATCCTGGTAACTTATCAAGTAAAATCACATTACAGAACAGGAAGCCCGGGACATCACCGGGGGTTTTAAAAGAAGCTTCCAGGGCAGGATATTTTAAAAAGAGCGTGGCCAGTTGTGACCTAGGCCGTCCTGCATTTTATGTCCCTGCGCTGCCTAATGACCAACCAACGAAACCATAACTTGGCATCACTGGGGAGGAAAGCAGTCTGACCTCATTTGCTGTTGTTAAAAGCAGTTGCCATTGGCAATAGAGAGAGGAGCAGAGACTATTGCAACCCAATAGTAGAAGTGTCTTGAGGGAGTTAACCAGTTCTTACTCATCTTTGTATGTTTCACATTGCCTTGAGGGTGTGATGTATTCAGAAATCATTGATAAAAGCCATTGTAAGAAGAGCAAAGCCATGCACTGATGTAAATGTTTAGATTTCTCAGATGAGGGAAGAGATACATAGGTAAAATGAGCAACTTGCAAAACAGAAAACAGTGAGGCAGAACTGGCACTTGGTTGAATGAATAAATGAACCATTAATGCAATCCAACACACAAAGGGTGGGGCTTTATTTTCTCTGTCCATGTCTAGCACAAGATTGAGCCAGAGGAACTGTTGATGGCATGGATGAATGAATGAATGAACTAATGAATGAGTGTGTTATGTTTCCCCAGGTGGGTGTTCACAAGCAGTGCTTTTTTTTTTTTTTTTTTTTTTTTGACAGGCAGAGTGGATAGTGGGAGAAAGACAGAGAGAAAGGTCTTCCTTTTGCTGTTGGTTCACCCTCCAATGGCCGCCACGGCTGGTGCACTGTGGCCGGCGCACCGTGCTGATCCAAAGCCAGGAGCCAGGTGCTTCTCCTGGTCTCCCATTGGGTGCAGGGCCCAAGCACTTGGGCCATCCTCCACTGCCTTCCCGGGCCACAGCAGAGAGCTGGCCCAGAAGAGGGGCAACCGGGACAGAATCCGGTGCCCCGACCGGGACTAGAACCCGGTGTGCAGGCACCGCAAGGTGGAGGATTAGCCTATTGAGCCGCGGCGCCGGCCAAGCAGTGCTTTAAATTGCCAATCTTGCTTCTTTCCACCAAGGCCCCTGCTGTGACAAAGCAGAGGGCCCCTAGGGGAAGAGACAGGCCCAGAGAAAAGCAGCCATTGCCCAAGGTCATGGAGCTGGAGCTGAAACTCAGGTCTCTAAACCCCACCAAACCCCTGCCCCACTCAGGTCTTGGATTAAGTGGGAGCACCTTCCTCCTCCTGGTGCCTCCGAACACCCCTCCCTTGCCGTGTCCCAGAGGCAGGACTGCGAGTGGGGAATGCCATCCTCTCCCCTCAGACCATCCCCTCTGCCTCCTCCTTTCCACATCCACCTGCCACTCTCTGAACCCTGTCCAACAGGCCTGGGGCTTTCTGGAACAGAGTAAAACCAAGGCCAGGTGGTGCCTCAGCAGACACCAGCGTTCCTGGCCCAGGATGTGCTGCCAGGAGGCCTGCGCAAGACCCTCAAAATAACCTCCACTTTGAAAGACGCTCAGGCTTTCTTTACCCAGCTCACTCCACAGGGCTGAGGCGGGCACGGTGCTCACGACATCCCAAGAGTAGCCAAATATATTATCTTGGAATCACACAATCTCATAATGAGAGAATCCTAGGAATACGAAATGTTTGGACAGAACTTTAGAATCATAAAACCCCAAACTAACCAGATTTTAAACTTTAGACACTCAGCATAATGGAATCTAGCATTGTTTTTTTTTTTTAATAAATGTTTTAATGTTTAAGAGATAGTTTGTTTTTTTTTTTTTTTCAAAAAAAATTTACTGGGCCGGCGCCGCGGCTCACTAGGCTAATCCTCCGCCTTGCGGCGCCGGCACACCGGGTTCTAGTCCCGGTTGGGGCGCCGGATTCTGTCCCGGTTGCCCCTCTTCTGGGCCAGCTCTCTGCTGTGGCCCGGGAGTGCAGTGGAGGATGGCCCAGGTGCTTGGGCCCTGCACCCCATGGGAGACCAGGAAAAGCACCTGGCTCCTGGCTCCTGCCATCGGATCAGCGCGGTGCGCCGGCCGCAGCGCGCTGGCCGCGGCGGCCATTGGAGGGTGAACCAACGGCAAAGGAAGACCTTTCTCTCTGTCTCTCTCTCTCACTGTCCACTCTGCCTGTCAAAAAAAAAAAAAAAAAATTTACTTATTTGAAAGGCAGAATTAGAGAGAGAGAGAGAGATCGAGATCGGTCAGTCTTCCATCTGCTGTTTCATTTCCCAAATGGCAGCAACAGCCAGAGCTGGGCAGATCCAAAGCCAGGAGCCAGGAGCTTTTTCCATGTCTCCCACACGGGTGCAGGGGCCCAAGGATTTGATTCATCTTCTATTGCTTTCACAGGCCCTAGCAGAGAGCTGGATTGGAACTGGAGCAGCCAGGACACGAACTGGCACTCATATGGGATAGCAGCATTGCAGGTGGCGGCTATACCACAGCGCTGGCCCCGGAATCTAGCATTTGAGAGCTATAATCCAACACGCTTTGTATATGAACATGCTGAGACCCATAGATGATTCTGTCTAGAAGTGACTAACTCAAGGCATGCACTGGTCCTAGACCCTCAACAGGGTGCATTTCCTGTTCGTCCCCCACTCATTTCCAGCATCCTTATCCAGCCCTGCCATCTCCTCCTGCCTGAGCTTGGGCTCCCTTGCCTCCTCCTTAGGAAACTCACTCCAGCTCTGGTCCACGCCTTCATGCCATGAATGGCTTTTTTTGAGCAGATTTAATAGCTTTTTTTTTTTCCTGCTTCTCTTTTTTTTTTTTTTTTTTTTTTTTTTTTGACAGGCAGAGTGGACAGTGAGAGAGAGAGACAGAGAGAAAGGTCTTCCTTTTTGCCGTTGGTTCACCCTCCAATGGCTGCCGCGGCTGGCGCACTGCGACCAGCGCACCACGCTGATCTGATGGCAGGAGCCAGGTACTTCTCCTGGTCTCCCATGGGGTGCAGGGCCCAAGCACTTGGGCCATCCTCCACTGCACTCCCTGGCCATAGCAGAGAGCTGGCCTGGAAGAGGGGCAACCGGGACAGAATCCGGCACCCTGACCGGGATAGAACCCGGTGTGCCGGCACCGCAAGGCGGAGGATTAGCCTATTGAGCTGCGGTGCCAGCCTAGATTTAATAGCTTTTATAGCTATTTGAAAATCCTCTCTATTGGGGCTGGCGTTGTGACATAGTGGGTTAAGCTTCCACCTGCAACAGCTGCAACCCATATGGGCACCAGTTGGAGCCCCAGCTGCTCCACTTCCCATCCAGCTCCTGGCCAATGTGCCAGTGGAAAGCAGTGGAAGATGGCCCAAGTACTTGTCCCCTGCACCCATGTGGGAGACCTGGATGAAACTCCTGGCTTTGGCCTGGCCCAGCCCTGGCTGTTGTGGCCATTTGTGGAGTGAACCATGGAAGATCCTCCCTCCCTCCCTCCCTCCCACCCTCCCTCCCTCTCCCCTTCCCCCCAACACTCTACCTTTAAAACAAATAAAATAAATCTTTAAAAAACCCTTTCTACTAACTGTTTTGAAACATTCAGCTAACTGTTGTCATCGTAGTTATCCCATGTGCCACAGAGCATCAGCGGTTATTCCTCTTCCTGTCCTCCGTCTTAAACAGAGCCCACCATCCTTCTCCAGCTACGATCATTCCCACCTCCCTTGCAAGCTTCCCTCCCTGCCTTTCCCCTCCCCTCCTCCCACTGCCGGCTCACCATTCTGCTGAGATTAACACCCTCTTTGCTATTCACCCTGCCCCATATGGGGCTTCCCCCACTCCTCCAGCTGCTCCTTCCCAGCTGGCTCTGTGGGGTCCCCCCCGCCCCGCCCTTTGCTTTTCCTCTCTTTGATGCTTTCCCAGACTGACTGCAGCCATCCTCAGCCTTGATTTGTGTGTTACTACCTCTGGGAATCTGCTTCCTTCTGAGCTCTAGATGGGCGTGGCCACGTGACTGTTCTCACCAGCTGGGAGTCTCTGGAAGGGGCATGTCAGGATCAAGCACAGTGCCCAGCACACGTCTGGTGGATGCAGAAAGTGTCATTTAAGAAGTCTTTCTGCCAAGGGATTCGTGCACAACTTGGGGAACTCTAGAGGGTGACTTCAGACCAGAAGAGCACATCTCTAACCCAACGCTCCATTTCACTGATAAGGAAACTGATGCCCAGAAGGGTTGAGCGACTTGTCCCCAAGGTCACACAGTAAGCTAACAGCAGACCTGGCACTCCTGTTACAGTTTAAATAATAGCTTGAGTGTCTACCAAGAGTGTCAGGGGCTTGGTCCTCAAAATCTTATGTTAGTGGTTAATGGGCTGAATTCAATTGTGGTGTCTGAAGTGGGGCCTTTGGGAAGTGATTGGACTGAGTTAGGTTGCAGGGGTGGGGTCCTGTAATTGAATCAGGATGGCCCTGTGAGGAGTGATCAAGGGGGCACAGAGGAGCATGCTCTTTGTCTCTCTCTGCGTGATCTTCCCTCTGCATGCGATCTGCTACCTGCCGCCATCATTGGACTCCAGACTGATGGGGCCACCTGACCTTGGACTGCGAACCTCCAAAACCGTGAGCAAAAATAAACTTTTTCCTTTATAAGTTAAGTTCTCTCTTTTGTTACTAAGTTGCAGTAACAAAAAACTGACTACTCCAGACTCTCATCCCAGCACATCCTCAGCTCACAGAGGAAAGGGTACTTTGGGGTATTCCTCCCAGGATGGATAGGCAGGCAGCATGGGCATGGTGTGTGCACAGTGTACAGACAAGGACATGGCAACTGTGAGCCCAAATGTGAGCCCCGAGACTGAAAGGCACGATGTCCTCCGCAAGTCTTACTCGATTGTTGTCTGATCCAGCACGCCGGTGACTGGGATCCCGTAGAACTGCTGCATGGTGGAGACTGCTGACTGTAAGGCCTTCCCCGAGTGCAGTGCAGACGCCCGTGCATCATAGGGCAGCAGGTAGCCGTACGACTTCAACCAGCTCTGAAAGACAGAGAGAACAGCAGGCGTTACGCTGGAGAGCGCTCTGTTCTACCTGGGCAGATTTGCCCTTAACGCCAGGGCTCACTCTACCCACGTGACTTATGGATTCACGCTCTGATTTCTTCTTCCATCACTCCTTCCAGCAGCCACTGGCAAATGAACCTCCAGAACACACAGCTCTTGGCTTACTCCCCTGCATAGACCTTTTGTTGGAGCCCGATTGGCTCTAGAATAAAGATCAAATTTGCATTCAAAGCTTTTTATTACCCAACCTTTTTACGCATTTGCCCGGTGCTTTCCTCTGATAAAAGACTAGACATGCAAGAACAGTTAATTATCTGACGTGGTGTGATCTGTTGAAAATGTGTCCCCTGGAAACTCGTGTTAAGGCCAGTCTGACGAAGAATTTCGTCGTGGAATATTTCTTGCAACTCCACTATAAAGTGAGCCATGTATAAGCAAAATGATATATCTTTTAATTTAAGTATAATTTAATATGTACATAGAAAAATCTAGAAAGTCAAAATGTGAATGATACTATGCAAGATAATTTCTTTCTTTTTTTTTTTTAAAGATATTTATTTGAAAGGCAGAGATACAGAGAGAGGAAGAGGAGGGAAAAAGAGATATCTTCCATCCCCTGGTTCACTCCCCAAATGACCACAATGGCTGGAGCCAGGCCAAAGCCAGGAGCTTCCTCCAGGTCTCCCACATGGGTACAAGAGCCCAAGCACTTGGGCCATCTTCTGCTGCTTTCCCAGGCACATTAGCAGGGAGCTGCATCGGAAGTAGAGCAGCCAGGACTCAAACCAGCACCCATATGGGATATGTTTAGGAAATATACACTAAAGTATTTAGGGCTACATAACAGTGTGTGATACTTGTAACTTTAATTTTAGAGGCAGGGAGAGACATGGAGAGATAGACAGACAGACAATGCCTAGGGTTGGGTGGGCTAGGGCTGGAGCCAGGTTTTCTGTGCAAGAGCCGTCAGTATTACCTGAGCCACCCTTGGTACCTCCCAAGGTCTGCACTGGAGAGATGCTTGAGTCAGGAGCCAGGAACTGAACCCAGGTACTCCAGTGTGAGATGTGGGCATCTTCACAGCGAGACCAAATGCTCATTCCTTATGTTTGTTTCTTGTTTCTATGTGAACAAGCTTACTGTGGATGTGTCTTTTATTATAACAACATATTATATGTTGTTTCTATTTTAGAAACAACAGTTTCCAATGGTCATTTTTTTAAAAGATGTATTTATTTATTTGAAAGGCAGAGTTACAGAGAGAAGGATAGATACAGAGAAAAATCTTCCATCCTCTGGTTCACTCTCCAAATGGCTGCAACAGCCAGGGCTGGGCCAGGCTGGAGCCAGGAGCTAGGAGTTTTTTCTGGGTCTCCTACATGGGTGCAGGGCCCCAAGCACTTGGGCTGTCCTCAGCTGGTTTCCCAGGTGTATTAGCAGGGAGCTAGGTCTGAAGTGGAGCAGCCAGGAGTTTAACTGGCACCCATAGGGGATGCCAGAGCTTTAGGCTGCAGCTTTAACCCACTGAGCCACAGTGCCAGCCCCTCCAATGGTCTTATATCAGTGGAAAGTACTGGGTAGATGAGTAAAGAGGCAGGGTAGTGGGAAATTTTGAATGCAAATTTAATCTTTATTCTGTAGTCAGCAGAGATCCAATGAAAGGTTTGACCACGAACTGTAAGTAACTACTTATTTATTTCAGCAAAGGTAACTATAACATCCTCACTGCCTTTGATAACATCTGACTAAGAACAAAACTGTCAGAATACTAAGGTCCTAAAACATCCACAACAGAGTGACAGCCTTCCCTCACTCGCATCTGGTATGTCAAACATGTTTTTCATTTTGAAGGATGGCACAGGGTACCAGCATGTCTTGCAGTTCCCAACACTGCTTCTCTTTCATGCCTTTGTACATATTTTCCCCTCTGCCCAGGATACTACTTCTTAGCTTTGCAAAAATCTTTCTTATTTTAAGGGTCAGTCCATAAATTCCGACCTCTGGAAGATTTTGCTGACTGCCAGGCTAAGTTATTTCCTCCCTCTCCTTCATGTCCCAAGTTCCCTATTATAGATATTACAGAGCTTATAATATCGGGCTCTTATTCCTTTATTTATCAGTCACCTCCAGGCTCTAAGCTCCTCAAGGGACTTGTCCATGTCTTATTCACGGCTGTATACCCAGTGCCCAAGACAAGTGCTGGACACACACTAGCTATGTCCATTTAACACACGTTATCTGGCATTGTGTAAAGCTGCCGTAGGGTACAAAGATGTGTAAGGAACTCACAGACTGACAGGTAAACTCTTACTAGAAATTTTGTGGTAAAAAGTGTGTGTGGAGTTACATGGGAGTACAAAATAGGACCGTCTTATCCACCGAGGGTGGGCAGGGAGAAGGGGAGCTCCGGGCAGGCTTCCAGGGGGAGACGGGGTACAGCATGTGCAGTCGCCTGGAGCCGTGGGAGAGCGGTGGGTTTTGAGCAATATTTACAATGGCTAGAATTCTGAGGGGAGTGGTGGCAGTTAAGTGGAGAGGTTGGGAAGGAGGGCAGTGGAGGGAGGTGGCCTATGATTATCTGTTCACAGAGTGGACAGATCACAGTGCTTGTGACTTGACTGTGATCTAGGATCAGCCAACAAGCTCAAGTAACACGTGTGCACATGGAAATGGCAGGGAGAGTGTCAGGTGCCCAGCCCCCACACTTGGGTGCTCTAACTTCTCTCCCCCAGGTTAAGTGGGGTTACTGCAGCACCAAGTCCCAGGACTAGAATGCCCCAGCCCTTCACAGTCAGAATGCCACCTCACTCTCCCCTCCTTTATGGAAACTTTAATTAAGAACTTCTGGACTGAAAAAATAGGGTGTGGGAAAGGCACACACGGTCCTGGAGTAAGGGACTTCGGTACATACTGGCCGCACGGCCCTGGGAAAATGGAGCTTCAGCTTCCATGTTTGGGAAGTATAAATACTAATTTCTCCTCCACAGGGTGGTTGTGAAGATGACATGAATGGATACACCTGCTACATAATAAGATCACTCAAAGTGTTGAGTATCGCTGTAGATGGTGTATCTGTTGTAAAATCTAGGCCAGAAACACGGTTTTGATTTATCTGCCTAGTCTAGTCATCCTGCCCTCCCACATTCTCCCTGGATCCACAGCCGGTCCTGTGGGTGTGATGGAGGGTGGTACATTTCCCACAGTCAGGTCTACTGGTGACTGGGAGCACTGTGTAGGGTCGGGTACACCGTGGATTAAATGGCAGCTAAAGTGAACTGTAGACTGTTCATCCTGTCGTTCCACTTTCTCAGGACCACGCACAATCACGTCCCGTTAGATTTCAGCTTGAGGAAAATGTATACTCTACAGGAGCTTCTCTGAGCACTGAAGTATAAGAAAGGCAGCCTGGGTGCCCCCAGCGGATTTCCCTGTAGCTTCTCTGCCAGGAACCTCTCAGCCAAACTTATAGCTTTGATGTTGAGCAGAGTCATGCTTGGAAAGAACTGTTCTGTTTTCCACCCCATAAGCCACCAAGTTCATCCGTAACAGTCTAAAAACATTATGTTTTAATCTGTAAGCCACCTCAACCCATTCCAGAGAAGAGGTGTGTACAACTTGAAAATGTATCCTGGGCTGGCACCGTGGAATGGTGGGTTAAGCCGCCACTTGTGAGGCTGGCATCCCATATCCAAGTGCCATTTGGAATACAGGCTGCTCTGCTTCTAATCCAACTTCCTGCCAATATGCCTGGGAAGGCAGTAGAAGATGGCTCAAATGCTTGGGCCCCACCACCCATGTGGGAGACCTGGATGGAGTCCCTGATTTCTGGATTCAGGCCAGCCCACACCTGGCTCTTGTGGCCATTTGGTGAGTGAACCAGCTGATGAAAGCTCTCTTTCTCTCTCTTTGTCTCTGTCTCTCTCTCTTTCTCTCTCCCACTCCCTCCCCTGTCATTCTGCCTTTCAAGTCAATAAATAGGGGCTGGTGTTGTGGCACAGTAAATTTAGCCACCACCTATAACACCAGCATTTCATACGGGCACTGGTTAGAGTCCTGGCTGCTCCAGTCTGATCCAGCACCCTGTTAATGTGCCTGGGAAAGCAGCAGAAGATGGCCCAAGTACTTGGACCCCTGCACCCATGTGGGAGACCTAGATGAAGCTCTTGGTTTCTGGCTTCAATCCGGCCTAGCCCTGGCCACTGTGCCATCTGGGGAGTAAACTAGCAGATGAAGGATCTCTCTCTCTATGTTACCATATCTTTCAAATAAATAAAATAAAATAAAATAAAATTTAAAGCAAATAAATAATTTTTAAAAATGATAAATAAGTTCTGTTGCAATTACTTAAAAAAATTATTTATTTATTTGAAAGGCAGAGTTACCGAGAAAGAGGGAGAGACTGAAAAAGAGATCTTTCATCTACTGGGTCACTCCCCAAATGGCCTCAATGCCTAGGACTGGGCCAGGCTGAAGCTAGGCGCCTAGAACTCCATCTGGGTCTCCACATGTGTGTCAGGGCCCAAATACTTAAGCAATCTTCCACTGCTCTCCCAGGCACATAAGAAGGGAGCTGGATCAGAACTGGGCAGCCAGGACCTGAACTGGCACCCCTGCGGAATGCAGGCATTGCTAGCGTCAGCTTAATTTGCTATGCCACAATGCTGGCACTGCAAAAAATTTTGAAATCTATACATATGAGAGAACAAAATTCCATACATATGAAGAACAAAAAGCTAATGAAAAATGTGTATTATAAAAGAACTGTACATGAATTTTGATTTTTTTGCATGAAAATAAATTCTTCTATGAACTTTTTAAAAATATATTTATTTATTTGAAAGGCAAAGTTAACAGAAAGGCAAAGGCACAGAGAGAGAAAGAGAAGTCCTCCATCCTCTGGTTCACACCCTTGAGGGCCGCAATGGCTGGAACTATGCCAGTCCGAAGCCAGGAGCTAGGAGCTTTTTCCAGGTCTC